CTCTCTCTCTCTCTCTCTCCTCTCTCTCTCTCCTCTTAGTTTAAAACGCTACACTTGGGATGAACTAAGCCTTAACAGTTGTTGTATAAATGATTGATATATATTAAATAAAGATACGCATCCTTAGATTTATGAACAAAAAACGTGTATGAGCAGTAAAAGAAAAGAAAGGTGGTTAATCAAAATATATTTACATTACTAGTACGGATATTAGGGTGACCATGCAGGGCAAAATATTATTTTTTAGTCGGCATTTTAATGGGAAACTATGAATATGCAAATTTCCCATGAATGTGACTGTGTTTTCAAGAGGGGTGACGATCAGGGTTGATGGTGTTATCGCCATTTGATTTCAATTTTTTCTTCAAATTCATATAATGATTGAGTACATCATACGTGGTAGGAGAGGATGAGAAGAAGAAGAAGACGGAGAAAGAGAAGAAGGAGAAGGGTGTTGGAATAAGAGCATGTATGGATGGAAAGAAGGAGAAAAGTTTCTTTAAACAAACACAAACTGGCATGCAGTCATGGGGGCGGACGACCCGGGACTGTCTCCTCCCACGTACGCAACAATGCCTTATATTGACGGCGTTGCCGAGCCGATGGTTATTCGTTTTGTTAACCTCCCGACGCACCGTATATCAAGATGGCTGAGAAGAATAGCTCTAAGAAGGTGACTACTAGAGCCGGCCGCCACCCACCGGCTGCCGAGATGGTTGCTACAGCAATCACCGAGTTGAAGGACCGCAATGGCTCCGCGCTGCAAGCAATAAAGAAGTATATCGCTACCAATTTCGATGTGCAGATGGACCGACAGCTGCTATTCATCAAGCGGGCCCTAAAGTCTGGCGTGAGAAAGGCAAACTAGTGCAGACGAAGGGGAAAGGAGCTTCGGGTTCTTTCAAGGTGAATGTGCAGGCGGCCAAGGCACAGGCGTCGGAGAAGGCCAAGAAGGAGAAGGAGAAGGCAAAACTGCTAGCACAGCGTGAGAAGGCCAAGGAAAAGCTGCAGCGAAGAAGGAGAAACTGCAGAAGGCAGCCGCCGCAAAGAAAGTCAAGGCAGCCCCCAAGAAAGCGAAGAAGCCAGTAAAGAAAACGACTGAGAAGAAAGAGAAGAAGAAGACTCCGAAGAAGGCACCCAAGAAGCCAGCAGCCAAGAAATCAACACCAAAGAAGACGCCCAAGAAGGCAGCCGCAAAGAAACCCAAGACTGCCAAGCCCAAGAAGCCTGCGGCAAAGAAGGCTGCAAAGTCCAAGTGATTTGCACGCCAACTTTCCCATCCTACCAAAACGGCTCTTTTCAGAGCCACCACATACCCAAGAAAGAAACACTTGTCCAAATGCACTCATGAGATACTATGAATATGTGTAATGAAAAGAAAATGAAGAAGAAAAAAGGGGGATGGGGGATGAAACAAAGAAATGGATAAAAAGAAATTAAAAGGGAAATAAGAATGACATGAATTATGGACGGTGATATTTGCCCAATTAGCACTGGTTCTCGTTTCAGCCCTTTTAAAATACAAACAAACTATATATAATACAGTACTTGTGAATATAAAAAAAGATGAACATATGAATCATATACGGAAAAAAAAGATGAAGTGAGAGAGAAAAGAGGCACGCGGGCGGGCTTGGGGTGAGGAATGCATATTGAGTAATGTATATTGAGTAATGTTGGTGATGACCGATTTTTCAGTTAATTAAGTTTCGTCATCCATGTATACTGTTGGATAAGATTCGTCACCCCCTCTTTTTTCAACTCGAGCATTCAACCAGGCCTCTCTACATAAATGCATGTACTAATGCTAGCGAATACTCGCCACAAGGGGGCGCACTCGAATGGGGAGTCTCCGCACTCCAGTCCCGCATACCGAACGATGCCGAATCTCGTCACCCAATCCGCAATGGTGTAACATACTCGGTGCAATCCGGTTGAGGCATCATTCGCTTAGCGTAATATCAGTCTACAGATCACACAGAACTCGCTCTCAACTATCAATCATCATCATGTCAGGTCGAGGAAAAGGAGGAAAGGGACTCGGAAAGGGTGGTGCCAAACGTCATCGCAAGGTTCTACGAGATAACATCCAAGGCATCACCAAGCCTGCAATCCGTCGACTTGCTAGAAGGGGAGGTGTCAAGAGGATCTCTGGTCTCATCTACGAAGAGACACGCGGTGTACTGAAGGTCTTCCTGGAGAATGTCATCCGTGATGCAGTCACCTACTGCGAGCACGCCAAGCGAAAGACTGTCACAGCCATGGACGTGGTGTATGCACTAAAGAGGCAGGGTCGTACATTGTACGGCTTCGGCGGCTAAGTGTAGCAGACCTCTCTCTCTCTCCTGCTAGAATAACAAACGGCTCTTTCAGAGCCACCAAATAATCAAGAAAGAATACTGTTGTATGTTATGTTAATACCGTAAAGAAAGTAAAGAAAGAAGAAGAAGAAGAAAATAAGCCGTTAATATAAGGCAACAACGAATAATGACTGTAAATACCTCCCAGAAGAGGCGATATAGTAGTGGTACAGACAGATGAAAGGCAAATCATGAATAGAAAGCAGTGAATGAAATTTAGGTTGGGCAAGAAGGGTGTGTCTATTCCAAAAGAAAGGCAGATTATGAAACAGAAAGCAGTAAGAAATTTAGTTAGAAATATAGTGTATAACATTGGCATTTGTAGTATGAGGGTCCTTATGTATGTTTTCAACTGAAATTGAACATTGTTGAACAAAAGAGAATTATGATTTATTTAAACAAAAGTAAATGCTAGTTATTAAACAGCCTACTCTGTGATAAAAGATGCGAAATGGATAAATACAAAATAAAAGATGCATGTTGTTTTCATAATGATAATAGCTACTATGTAATTGTATAGCGCTTAATACAGCGCTTTAGATATATTATATAGGTTCCCTTTTTCATTTGCTGTAACCAAATAATTTTGAAATACAATGTCAAAGATATTTCATTGCTCATTTCTGTTATATCATTACGTTTATTATTATTGTCTATCATGGTTTATATTGTGTGAGAAGAAATGAAAAATGAAATCGCTCTTTACATATAGAGAGAGCTACTACTACTATATAAGTATATATATCTCCGAGATAATGTCAAAGTAGGAGTGAATCATAACCTGTGCAAGTATGTCTTGGATAAAAAGTCTCGACATGTTCCCATATTCCCATCAAAATCATCGTCTTCTTCAACTTTTTCACATTTCTCATTCTTTGGGATTGAATGAACAATGCAGATAGATTCCTATATTAGAACATATGCCCGTATGATCACTATGTCGCCATCTCTAGGCAGGGGATGGAACAGGCACTAATTCTGCGACGCCTAAGACCAATGAAAGGATCGAGACCGAGGCTCATTTGCATACGGACCGCAGCATACGGATCCGGCCCCGTGTATAAAAGGGAAAGGTTCTCGCTGGCCATTCACAGTATCCCAAAGAATATTTGCTTGACATACTCTTTTCGCTGCATCTTTACAGACCAGAAAACCTCAATTCATCATGGCTCCAACAGCTCAAGTTGCTAAGAAAGGCTCCAAGAAGGCAGTCAAGGCACCTCGGCCCAGCGGTGGCAAGAAGAGGACAGGAAAAGGAGGAGAGTTATGGAATCTACATCTACAAAGTCCTCAAGCAGGTTCATCCAGATACCGGCATCTCCAGTCGGGCCATGGTCATCATGAACAGCTTCGTCAACGACATCTTCGAGCGAATTGCCGGCGAATCTTCCGCCTCGCTCAGTACAACAAAAAGTCAACCATCAGCAGTCGCGAGATTCAGACCGCCGTCCGCCTCATTCTCCCGGAGAGCTGGCAAAGCACGCTGTGAGCGAGGTACCAAGGCAGTGACGAAATACACTACCTCAAGTAGACAGGTCATATCCTGCTCTAATTGGACATAATACAACGGCCCTTTCAGGGCCACACAAATAATCAAGAAAGAATGATATCCGTAGTAATGTAGCGTAGTTGTTTATTAAATAAATAATGTGTATAACGAATATAAGATATAATCAATTATACACAATAGTATGTAATAATATTAGCCCTATATAAATCTCACTCTATAAATCTAGACTAGAGCATAAAGTGTAGTCATGATGGTCGGAAGGAAGACGAAAATAGTTTGATTAATTAAATAAAAAAGAAATACAATTCGAGATGGCAACATGTCCTAAATGATATATGTCCATGCATCCTTTCCTTCCTTGAAAGGTTGACGAGATGCAGGTTAAGTCTTTTCTCATGATTCATCACCACCCAGCTCCCTGCCTGCCTCCTCTCTCATCCGCCCTCTCAAGATCAGCGGAGCAGACTCTCGGTCAAACACCTTAATCATCATTTGTTAGAATGCATATTTTCGTAATTATTTGGCACCACATGAGTGCGTGAGCCGAATTCCCGGCTTGCCATGTAACCCATGTTGCAAACGTGGTAGCGCCACCTTTCGACACATTTTATTGACTTTGCACATACGGCATCGCCAAGCCCCCTTCCCGTCACGCGCTAAACAAAAGAGCAACCCGGTTGACCAATCAAGAGAGCTTTACAAACGCAGGGCGACGGCACCAGGATCCTTCGCAGCACATATAAATAGCTGAAAATTGCCAGTGGTTCTCATTCATCCCGTCACTCTATTTGAAGTACTGAATTACCTACTGTCTCTCAAGCAACTATGGCACGCACCAAGCAGACCGCTCGCAAATCTACAGGAGGGAGGCTCCCCGCAAGCAGCTGGCAACCAAAGCTGCCAGAAAGAGTGCCCCCGCCACTGGAGGAGTCAAGAAGCCTCATCGATACAGGCCTGGCACAGTCGCCCTGAGAGAGATTCGCCGCTACCAGAAGAGCACTGAGCTTCTCATCCGAAAACTGCCATTCCATCCAGCGTCTAGTGCGTGAGATTGCACAGGACTTCAAGACAGAGCTACGTTTCCAGAGTTCCGCTGTGATGGCCCTTCAAGAAGCCAGCGAGGCATACCTAGTTGGCCTCTTTGAGGACACCAACCTGTGTGCCATCCACGCCAAGAGGGTTACCATCATGCCCAAAGACATCCACTCGCCCGTCGAATCCGCGGAGAACGCGCCTAGAACCATCGGTACAGCATGTAGCCCATGCACCGCATACACAAACGGCTCTTTTCAGAGCCACCACAACCCCAAGAAAGAATCATTGATTTCTAAAATGAACACGATGCATGACAATCGACGCTATTATAAGAAGAAAAAAAAAAAAACAACATTTGTAGATCATAATTGAGATGAACGATATGATGAAAATGTAGAACATAGTTTAGATACACGATATGATAAAAATGGAGAACCAATAAGTGTTAGGTATTAAAATGTGCAAGGAATATTCAATATAAATCCATGAAATCTATGAACGTTTAATACTACGTAAGCCACATAATAAATCAAAGCTAGGGTGAATTATGATGAAACATATATTCCAAGAAAGAGAGTTTTTAGGCGATTGATTGATTGATTGATTGATCTCTGAAATACAACATAGAACCTGACACTATTGGAAATAGGGGCAGTGTACTTGGAATGGGCTACAGTTTTATCACATGTTTTAGGCGTTGTCGTCCCATCCATTTGAATTGATCTGTGTTTCTTTTTAATTCAAGAAACCCTATACAATCTGATTGTGGAGAAAACGGATAAGTCGCCGCGAGATGGCACCATTCACTAATGATGCGAAACAAGTTAAGGAGATCGGTCAGCTACCCGCTGATTGGACAATAGTCCACAATGCCCCCCGACGGTCACTGCGATCCTAACACCAGGTATAAATAGCCACCAAAACGCTGCTGGGCATCCATTCAAGTCATCGAACATTGTTACGTTCTGAACTTCGCTTCCGATTTATTCTAAACTCATCAACAACATCATGTCTGGCAGAGGAAAGAGTGGAAAGCCCGCACCAAGGCAAAGACGCGCTCATCCCGTGCAGGGCTCCAGTTTCCAGTGGGACGTGTTTCATCGGTTTCTCCGAAAGGGCAACTATGGCAAATAGGTGTCGGCGGTGGAGCTCCTGTCTACATGGCTGCCGTCCTAGAGTACCTCACTGCCGAAATCTTGGAACTCGCAGGCAACGCTGCCCGCGACAACAAGAAATCTAGGATCATCCCACGCCACCTTCAACTCGCTGTGCGTAATGATGAAGAACTCAACAAGCTTTTGGGTGGGGTGACGATCGCTCAAGGTGGTGTTCTGCCCAACATCCAAGCCGTGCTGCTCCCCCAAGAAAACCGCTTAAATCAAGCTAGAGTTGCTCCCGGCATCTTGAAACCTCAACGGCCCTTATCAGGGCCACCAATTACTCACGAAAGAATTGTTTCATTTATGAGTTCCCTTCCCCCGCTCTCTCTCTCTCTCTCTCTCTCTCTCTCTCCCTCCTCTTAGTTTAAAAACGCTACACTTGGGATGAACTAAGCCTTAACAGTTGTTGTATATAATGATTGATATATATTAAATAAAGATACGCATCCTTAGATGTTATGAACAAAAAAAGTGTATGAGCAGTAAAAGAAAAGAAAGGTGGTTAATCAAAAATATATTTACAGTTACTAGTACGGATATTAGGGGACCATGCCAGGCAGGGCAAAATATTATCTTTTTAGTCGGCATTTTAATGGGAAACTATGAATATGCAATTTCCCATGAATGTGACTGTGTTTCAAGAGGGGTGACGATCAGGGGTTGATGGTGTTATCGCCATTTGATTTCATTTTTTCTTCAAATTCATATAATGATTGAGTACATCATACGTGTTAGGAGAGGATGAAGAAGAAGAAGAAGACGGAGAAAGAGAAAGGAGAAGGGGGTGGTGGAATAAGAGCATGTATGGATGGAAAAGAAGGGAGAAAAGTTTCTTTTAAACAAACACAAACTGGCATGCAGTCATGGGGCGGACGACCGGGACTGTCTCCTCCCACGTACGCAACAATGCCTTATATTGACGGCGTTGCCGAGCCGATGGTTATTCGTTTTGTTAACCTCCCGACGCACCGTATATCAAATGGCTGAGAAGAATAGCTCTAAGAAGGTGACTACTAAGAAGCCGGCCGCCCACCCACCGGCTGCCGAGATGGTTGCTACAGCAATCACCGAGTTGAAGGACCGCAATGGCTCCTCGCTGCAAGCAATAAAGAAGTATATCGCTACCAATTTCGATGTGCAGATGGACCGACAGCTGCTATTCATCAAGCGGGCCCTAAAGTCTGGCGTGGAGAAAAGGCAAACTAGTGCAGACGAAGGGGAAAGGAGCTTCGGGTTCTTTCAAGGTGAATGTGCAGGCGGCCAAGGCACAGGCGTCGGAGAAGGCCAAGAAGGAGAAGGAGAAGGGCAAAACTGCTAGCACAGCGTGAGAAGGCCAAGGAAAAGGCGCAGCGAGAAGGAGAAACTGCAGAAGGCAGCCGCCGCAAAGAAAGTCAAGGCAGCCCCCAAGAAAGCGAAGAAGCCAGTAAAGAAAACGACTGAGAAGAAAGAGAAGAAGAAGACTCCAAAGAAGGCACCCAAGAAGCCAGCAGCCAAGAAATCAACACCAAAGAGACGCCCAAGAAGGCAGCCGCAAAGAAACCCAAGACTGCCAAGCCCAAGAAGCCTGCGGCAAAGAAGGCTGCAAAGTCCAAGTGATTTGCACGCCAACTTCCCATCCTACCCAAAACGGCTCTTTTCAGAGCCACCACATACCAAGAAAGAAACACTTGTCCAAATGCACTCATGAGATACTATGATATGTGTAATGAAGAAGAAAAATGAAGAAGAAAAAAGGGGGATGGGGATGAAACAAAGAAATGGATAAAAAAGAAATTAAAAAGGGAAATAAGAATGACATGAATTATGGACGGTGATATTTGCCCAATTAGCACTGGTTCTCGTTTCAGCCCTTTTAAAATACAAACAAACTATATATAATACAGTACTTGTGAATATAAAAAAAGATGAACATATGAATCATATACGGGAAACAAAATGAAGGATGAGAGAGAAAGAGGCACGCGGCGGGCTTGGTGAGGAATGCATATTGAGTAATGTATATTGAGTAATGTTGGTGATGACCGATTTTCAGTTAATTAAGTTTCGTCATCCATGTATACTGCTGGATAAGATTCGTCACCCCCCCTCTTTTTCAACTCGAGCATTCAACACAGGCCTCTCTACATAAATGCATGTACTAATGCTAGCGAATACTCGCCACAAGGGGGCGCACTCGAATGGGGAGTCTCCGCACTCCAGTCCCGCATACCGAACGACGATGCCGAATCTCGTCACCCAAGTCCGCAATGGTGTAACAATACTCGGTGCAATCCGGTTGAGGCATCATTCGCTTAGCGTAATATCCAGTCTACAGGATCACACAGAACTCGCTCTCAACTATCAATCATCATCATGTCAGGTCGAGGAAAAGGGAGGAAAGGGACTCGGAAAGGGTGTGCCAAACGTCATCGCAAGGTTCTACGAGATAACATCCAAGGCATCACCAAGCCTGCAATCCGTCGACTTGCAGAAGGGGAGGTGTCAAGAGGATCTCTGGTCTCATCTACGAAGAGACACGCGGTGTACTGAAGGTCTTCCTGGAGAATGTCATCCGTGATGCAGTCACCTACTGCGAGCACGCCAAGCGAAAGACTGTCACAGCCATGGACGTGGTGTATGCACTAAAGAGGCAGGGTCGTACATTGTACGGCTTCGGCGGCTAAGTGTAGCAGACCTCTCTCTCTCTCTGGCTAGAATAACAAACGGCTCTTTTCAGAGCCACCAAATAATCAAGAAAGAATACTGTTGTATGTTATGTTAATACCGTAAAGAAAGTAAAAAGAAAGAAGAAGAAGAAGAAATAAGCCGTTAATATAAGGCAACAACGAATAATGACTGTAAATACCTCCCAGAAGAGGCGATATAGTGATTGGTACAGACAGATGAAAGGCAAATCATGAAACAGAAAGCAGTGAATGAAATTTAGGTTGGGCAAGAAGGGTGTGTCTATTCCAAAAGAAAGGCAGATTATGAAACAGAAAGCAGTAAGAAATTTAGTTAGAAATAGTGTATAGACATTGGCATTTGTAGTATGAGGGTCCTTATGTATGTTTTCAACTGAATTGAACATTGATTGTACAAAAGAAATTATGATTTATTTAAACAAAAGTAAATGCTAGTTATTAAACACCCTACTCTGTGATAAAAGATGCGAAATGGATAAATACAAAATAAAAGATGCATGTTGTTTTCATAATGATAATAGCTACTATGTAATTGTATAGCGCTTAATACAGCGCTTTAGATATATTATATAGGTTCCCTTTTTCATTTGCTGTAACCAAATAATTTTGAAATACAATGTCAAAGATATTTCATTGCTCATTTCTGTTATATCATTACGTTTATTATTATTGTCTATCATTGTTTATATTGTGTGAGAAGAAATGAAAATGAATTCGCTCTTTACATATAGAGAGAGCTACTACTACTATAATTATAATATCTCCGAGATAATGTCAAAAGTAGGAGTGAATCATAACCTGTGCAAGTATGTCTGTGGATAAAAAGTCTCGACATGTTCCATATTCCCATCAAAATCATCGTCTTCTTCAACTTTTTCACATTTTCTCATTCTTTGGGGATTGAATTGAACAATGCAGATAGATTCCTATATTAGAACATATGCCCGTATGATCACTATGTCGCCATCTCTAGGCAGGGGATGGAACAGGCACTAATTCTGCGACGCCTAAGACCAATGAAAGGATCGAGACCGAGGCTCATTTGCATACGGACCGCAGCATACGGATCCGGCCCCGTGTATAAAAAGGAAAGGTTCTCGCTGGCCATTCACAGTATCCAAAGAATATTTGCTTGACATACTCTTTCGCTGCATCTTTACAGACCAGAAAACCTCAATTCATCATGGCTCCAACAGCTCAAGTTGCTAAGAAAGGCTCCAAGAAGGCAGTCAAGGCACCTCGGCCCAGCGGTGGCAAGAAGAGGAACAGGAAAGGAGGAGAGTTATGGAATCTACATCTACAAAGTCCTCAAGCAGGTTCATCCAGATACCGGCATCTCCAGTCGGGCCATGGTCATCATGAACAGCTTCGTCAACGACATCTTCGAGCGAATTGCCGGCGAATCTTCCCGCCTTCGCTCAGTACAACAAAAAGTCAACCATCAGCAGTCGCGAGATTCAGACCGCCGTCCGCCTCATTCTCCCCGGAGAGCTGGCAAAGCACGCTGTGAGCGAGGGTACCAAGGCAGTGACGAAATACACTACCTCCAAGTAGACAGGTCATATCCTGCTCTAATTGGACATAATACAACGGCCCTTTTCAGGGCCACACAAATAATCAAGAAAATGATATCCGTAGTAATGTAGCGTAGTTGTTTATTAAATAAATAATGTGTATAACGAATATAAGATATAATCAAGATTACACAATAGTATGTAATAATATTAGCCCTATATAAATCTCACTCTATAAATCTAGACTAGAGCATAAAGTGTAGTCATGATGGTCGGAAGGAAGACGAAAATAGTTGATTAATTAAATAAAAAAGAAATACAATTCGAGATGGCAACATGTCCTAAATGATATACGTCCATGCATCCTTTCCTTCCTTGAAAGGTTGACGAGATGCAGGTTAAGTCTTTTCTCATGATTCATCACCACCCAACTTCCTGCCTGCCTCCCTCTCATCCGCCCTCTCAAGATCAGCCGAGCAGACTCTCGGTCAAACACCTTAATCATCATTTGTTAGAATGCATATTTTCGTAATTATTTGGCACCACATGAGTGCGTGAGCCGAATTCCCGGCTTGCCATGTAACCCATGTTGCAAACGGTGGTAGCGCCACCTTTCGACACATTTTATTGACTTTGCACATACGGCATCGCCAAGCCCCCTTCCCGTCACGCGCTAAACAAAAGAGCAACCCGGTTGACCAATCAAGAGAGCTTTACAAACGTAGGGCGACGGCACCAGGATCCTTCGCAGCACATATAAATAGCTGAAAATTGCCAGTGGTTCTCATTCATCCCGTCACTCGTATTTGAAGTACTGAATTACCTACTGTCTCTCAAGCAACTATGGCACGCACCAAGCAGACCGCTCGCAAATCTACAGGAGGGAAGGCTCCCCGCAAGCAGCTGGCAACCAAAGCTGCCAGAAAGAGTGCCCCCGCCACTGGAGGAGTCAAGAAGCCTCATCGATACAGGCCTGGCACAGTCGCCCTGAGAGAGATTCGCCGCTACCAGAAGAGCACTGAGCTTCTCATCCGAAAACTGCCATTCCAGCGTCTAGTGCGTGAGATTGCACAGGACTTCAAGACAGAGCTACGTTTCCAGAGTTCCGCTGTGATGGCCCTTCAAGAAGCCAGCGAGGCATACCTAGTTGGCCTCTTTGAGGACACCAACCTGTGTGCCATCCACGCCAAGAGGGTTACCATCATGCCCAAAGACATCCAGCTCGCCCGTCGAATCCGCGGAGAACGCGCCTAGAACCATCGGTACAGCATGTAGCCCATGCACCGCATACACAAACGGCTCTTTTCAGAGCCACCACAACCCCAAGAAAGAATCATTGATTTCTAAAATGAACACGATGCATGACAATCGACGCTATTATAAGAAGAGAAAAAAAACAAACAAAACAAACATTTGTAGATCGTAATTGAGATGAACGATATGATGAAAATGTAGAACATAATTTAGATACACGATATGATAAAAATGGAGAACACAATAAGAGTTAGGTATTAAAATGTGCAAGGAATATTCAAATATAAATCCATGAAATCTATGAACGTTTAATACTACGTATGCCACATAATAAATCAAAGCTAGGGTGAATTATGATGAAACATATATTCCAGAAAGAGAGTTTTTAGGCGATTGATTGATTGATTGATCTCTGAAATACAACATAGAACCTGACACTATTGGAAATAGGGGCAGTGTACTTGGAATGGGCTACAGTTTTATCACATGTTTTTAGGCGTTGTCGTCCCATCCATTTGAATTGATCTGTGTTTCTTTTTAATTCAAGAAACCCTATACAATCTGATTGTGGAGAAAACGGATAAGTCGCCGCGAGATGGCACCATTCACTAATGATGCGAAACAAGTTTAAGGAGATCCGGTCAGCTACCCGCTGATTGGACAATAGTCACAATGCCCCCCGACGGTCACTGCGATCCTAACACCAGGTATAAATAGCCACCAAAACGCTGCTGGGCATCCATTCAAGTCATCGAACATTGTTACGTTCTGAACTTCGCTTCCGATTTATTCTAAACTCATCAACAACATCATGTCTGGCAGAGGAAAGAGTGGAAAGGCCCGCACCAAGGCAAAGACGCGCTCATCCCGTGCAGGGCTCCAGTTTCCAGTGGGACGTGTTCATCGGTTTCTCCGAAAGGGCAACTATGCAAAGAGGGTCGGCGGTGGAGCTCCTGTCTACATGGCTGCCGTCCTAGAGTACCTCACTGCCGAAATCTTGGAACTCGCAGGCAACGCTGCCCGCGACAACAAGAAATCTAGGATCATCCCACGCCACCTTCAACTCGCTGTGCGTAATGATGAAGAACTCAACAAGCTTTTGGGTGGGGTGACGATCGCTCAAGGTGGTGTTCTGCCCAACATCCAAGCCGTGCTGCTCCCCAAGAAAACCGCTAAATCAAGCTAGAGTTTGCTCCCGGCAATCTTGAAACCTCAACGGCCCTTATCAGGGCCACCAATTACTCACGAAAGAATTGTTTCATTTATGAATTCCCTTCCCCCGCTCTCTCTCTCTCTCTCTCTCTCTCTCTCTCTCTCTCTCTCTCTCTCTAGTTTAAAACGCTACACTTGGGATGAACTAAGCCTTAACAGTTGTTGTATATAATGATTGATATATATTAAATAAAGATACGCATCCTTAGATGTTATGAACAAAAAAAGTGTATGAGCAGTAAAAGAAATAGAAAGGTGGTTAATCAAAAATATATTTACAGTTACTAGTACGGATATTAGGGTGACCATGCAGGGCAAAATATTATCTTTTTAGTCGGCATTTTAATGGGAAACTATGAATATGAAATTTCCCATGAATGTGACTGTGTTTCAAGAGGGGTGACGATCAGGGGTTGATGGTGTTATCGCCATTTGATTTCATTTTTTTCTTCAAATTCATATAATGATTGAGTACATATACGTGGTAGGAGAGGATGAAGAAGAAGAAGAAGACGGAGAAAGAGAAGAAGGAGAAGGGGGTGTTGGAATAAGAGCATGTATGGATGGAAAAGAAGGGAGAAAAGTTTCTTTAAACAAACACAAACTGGCATGCAGTCATGGGGGCGGACGACCCGGGACTGTCTCCTCCCACGTACGCAACAATGCCTTATATTGACGGCGTTGCCGAGCCGATGGTTATTCGTTTTGTTAACCTCCCGACGCACCGTATATCAAGATGGCTGAGAAGAATAGCTCTAAGAAGGTGACTACTAAGAAGCCGGCCGCCCACCCACCGGCTGCCGAGATGGTTGCTACAGCAATCACCGAGTTGAAGGACCGCAATGGCTCCTCGCTGCAAGCAATAAAGAAGTATATCGCTACCAATTTCGATGTGCAGATGGACCGACAGCTGCTATTCATCAAGCGGGCCCTAAAGTCTGGCGTGGAGAAAGGCAAACTAGTGCAGACGAAGGGGAAAGGAGCTTCGGGTTCTTTCAAGGTGAATGTGCAGGCGGCCAAGGCACAGGCGTCGGAGAAGGCCAAGAAGGAGAAGGAGAAGGCAAAACTGCTAGCACAGCGTGAGAAGGCCAAGGAAAAGGCTGCAGCGAAGAAGGAGAAACTGCAGAAGGCAGCCGCCGCAAAGAAAGTCAAGGCAGCCCCCAAGAAAGCGAAGAAGCCAGTAAAGAAAACGACTGAGAAGAAAGAGAAGAAGAAGACTCCGAAGAAGGCACCCAAGAAGCCAGCAGCCAAGAAATCAACACCAAAGAAGACGCCCAAGAAGGCAGCCGCAAAGAAACCCAAGACTGCCAAGCCCAAGAAGCCTGCGGCAAAGAAGGCTGCAAAGTCCAAGTGATTTGCACGCCAACTTTCCCATCCTACCAAAACGGCTCTTTTCAGAGCCACCACATACCCAAGAAAGAAACACTTGTCCAAATGCACTCATGAGATACTATGAATATGTGTAATGAAGAAGAAAATGAAGAAGAAAAAAAGGGGGATGGGGATGAAACAAAGAAAATGGATAAAAAGAAATTAAAAAGGGAAATAAGAATGACATGAATTATGGACGGTGATATTTGCCCAATTAGCACTGGTTCTCGTTTCAGCCCTTTTAAAATACAAACAAACTATATATAATACAGTACTTGTGAATATAAAAAAAGATGAACATATGAATCATATACGGAAACAAAAGATGAAGGATGAGAGAGAAAGAGGCACGCGGGCGGGCTTGGGTGAGGAATGCATATATAATTGAGTAATGTATATTGAGTAATGTTGGTGATGACCGATTTTTCAGTTAATTAAGTTTCGTCATCCATGTATACTGTTGGATAAGATTCGTCACCCCCTCTTTTTTCAACTCGAGCATTCAACACAGGCCTCTCTACATAAATGCATGTACTAATGCTAGCGAATACTCGCCACAAGGGGGCGCACTCGAATGGGGAGTCTCCGCACTCCAGTCCCGCATACCGAACGATGCCGAATCTCGTCACCCAAGTCCGCAATGGTGTAACAATACTCGGTGCAATCCGGTTGAGGCATCATTCGCTTAGCGTAATATCCAGTCTACAGGATCACACAGAACTCGCTCTCAACTATCAATCATCATCATGTCAGGTCGAGGAAAAGGAGGAAAGGGACTCGGAAAGGGTGGTGCCAAACGTCATCGCAAGGTTCTACGAGATAACATCCAAGGCATCACCAAGCCTGCAATCCGTCGACTTGCCAGAAGGGGAGGTGTCAAGAGGATCTCTGGTCTCATCTACGAAGAGACACGCGGTGTACTGAAGGTCTTCCTGGAGAATGTCATCCGTGATGCAGTCACCTACTGCGAGCACGCCAAGCGAAAGACTGTCACAGCCATGGACGTGGTGTATGCACTAAAGAGGCAGGGTCGTACATTGTACGGCTTCGGCGGCTAAGTGTAGCAGACCTCTCTCTCTCTCCTGGCTAGAATAACAAACGGCTCTTTTCAGAGCCACCAAATAATCAAGAAAGAATACTGTTGTATGTTATGTTAATACCGTAAAGAAAGTAAAGAAAGAAGAAGAAGAAGAAGAAATAAGCCGTTAATATAAGGCAACAACGAATAATGACTGTAAATACCTCCCAGAAGAGGCGATATAGGGATTGGTATAGACAGATGAAAGGCAAATCATGAAACAGAAAGCAGTGAATGAAATTTAGGTTGGGCAAGAAGGGTGTGTCTATTCCAAAAGAAAGGCAGATTATGAAACAGAAAGCAGTAAGAAATTTAGTTAGAAATAGTGTATAGACATTGGCATTTGTAGTATGAGGGTCCTTATGTATGTTTTCAACTGAAATTGAACATTGATTGTATCAAAAGAGAATTATGATTTATTTAAACAAAAGTAAATGCTAGTTATTAAACAGCCTACTCTGTGATAAAAGATGCGAAATGGATAAATACAAAATAAAAGATGCATGTTGTTTTCATAATGATAATAGCTACTATGTAATTGTATAGCGCTTAATACAGCGCTTTAGATATATTATATAGGTTCCCTTTTTCATTTGCTGTAACCAAATAATTTTGAAATACAATGTCAAAGATATTTCATTGCTCATTTCTGTTATATCATTACGTTTATTATTATTGTCTATCATTGTTTATATTGTGTGAGAAGAAATGAAAAATGAATTCGCTCTTTACATATAGAGAGAGCTACTACTACTATATAAGTATATATCTCCGAGATAATGTCAAAAGTAGGAGTGAATCATAACCTGTGCAAGTATGTCTTGGATAAAAAGTCTCGACATGTTCCATATTCCCATCAAAATCATCGTCTTCTTCAACTTTTTCACATTTCTCATTCTTTGGGGATTGAATTGAACAATGCAGATAGATTCCTATATTAGAACATATGCCCGTATGATCACTATGTCGCCATCTCTAGGCAGGGGATGGAACAGGCACTAATTCTGCGACGCCTAAGACCAATGAAAGGATCGAGACCGAGGCTCATTTGCATACGGACCGCAGCATACGGATCCGGCCCCGTGTATAAAAAGGAAAGGTTCTCGCTGGCCATTCACAGTATCCAAAGAATATTTGCTTGACATACTCGTTTCGCTGCATCTTTACAGACCAGAAAACCTCAATTCATCATGGCTCCAACAGCTCAAGTTGCTAAGAAAGGCTCCAAGAAGGCAGTCAAGGCACCTCGGCCCAGCGGTGGCAAGAAGAGGAACAGGAAAAGGAAGGAGAGTTATGGAATCTACATCTACAAAGTCCTCAAGCAGGTTCATCCAGATACCGGCATCTCCAGTCGGGCCATGGTCATCATGAACAGCTTCGTCAACGACATCTTCGAGCGAATTGCCGGCGAATCTTCCCGCCTCGCTCAGTACAACAAAAAGTCAACCATCAGCAGTCGCGAGATTCAGACCGCCGTCCGCCTCATTCTCCCCGGAGAGCTGGCAAAGCACGCTGTGAGCGAGGGTACCAAGGCAGTGACGAAATACACTACCTCCAAGTAGACAGGTCATATCCTGCTCTAATTGGACATAATACAACGGCCCTTTTCAGGGCCACACAAATAATCAAGAAAGAATGATATCCGTAGTAATGTAGCGTAGTTGTTTATTAAATAAATAATGTGTATAACGAATATAAGATATAATCAAGATTACACAATAGTATGTAATAATATTAGCCCTATATAAATCTCACTCTATAAATCTAGACTAGAGCATAAAGTGTAGTCATGATGGTCGGAAGGAAGACGAAAATAGTTGATTAATTAAATAAAAAAGAAATACAATTCGAGATGGCAACATGTCCTAAATGATATACGTCCATGCATCCTTTCCTTCCTTGAAAGGTTGACGAGATGCAGGTTAAGTCTTTTCTCATGATTCATCACCACCCAACTTCCTGCCTGCCTCCCTCTCATCCGCCCTCTCAAGATCAGCCGAGCAGACTCTCGGTCAAACACCTTAATCATCATTTGTTAGAATGCATATTTTCGTAATTATTTGGCACCACATGAGTGCGTGAGCCGAATTCCCGGCTTGCCATGTAACCCATGTTGCAAACGGTGGTAGCGCCACCTTTCGACACATTTTATTGACTTTGCACATACGGCATCGCCAAGCCCCCTTCCCGTCACGCGCTAAACAAAAGAGCAACCCGGTTGACCAATCAAGAGAGCTTTACAAACGTAGGGCGACGGCACCAGGATCCTTCGCAGCACATATAAATAGCTGAAAATTGCCAGTGGTTCTCATTCATCCCGTCACTCGTATTTGAAGTACTGAATTACCTACTGTCTCTCAAGCAACTATGGCACGCACCAAGCAGACCGCTCGCAAATCTACAGGAGGGAAGGCTCCCCGCAAGCAGCTGGCAACCAAAGCTGCCAGAAAGAGTGCCCCCGCCACTGGAGGAGTCAAGAAGCCTCATCGATACAGGCCTGGCACAGTCGCCCTGAGAGAGATTCGCCGCTACCAGAAGAGCACTGAGCTTCTCATCCGAAAACTGCCATTCCAGCGTCTAGTGCGTGAGATTGCACAGGACTTCAAGACAGAGCTACGTTTCCAGAGTTCCGCTGTGATGGCCCTTCAAGAAGCCAGCGAGGCATACCTAGTTGGCCTCTTTGAGGACACCAACCTGTGTGCCATCCACGCCAAGAGGGTTACCATCATGCCCAAAGACATCCAGCTCGCCCGTCGAATCCGCGGAGAACGCGCCTAGAACCATCGGTACAGCATGTAGCCCATGCACCGCATACACAAACGGCTCTTTTCAGAGCCACCACAACCCCAAGAAAGAATCATTGATTTCTAAAATGAACACGATGCATGACAATCGACGCTATTATAAGAAGAAGAAAAAAAAACAAAACAAACATTTGTAGATCGTAATTGAGATGAACGATATGATGAAAATGTAGAACATAATTTAGATACACGATATGATAAAAATGGAGAACACAATAAGAGTTAGGTATTAAAATGTGCAAGGAATATTCAAATATAAATCCATGAAATCTATGAACGTTTAATACTACGTATGCCACATAATAAATCAAAGCTAGGGTGAATTATGATGAAACATATATTCCAAGAAAGAGAGTTTTTAGGCGATTGATTGATTGATTGATCTCTGAAATACAACATAGAACCTGACACTATTGGAAATAGGGGCAGTGTACTTGGAATGGGCTACAGTTTTATCACATGTTTTTAGGCGTTGTCGTCCCATCCATTTGAATTGATCTGTGTTTCTTTTTAATTCAAGAAACCCTATACAATCTGATTGTGGAGAAAACGGATAAGTCGCCGCGAGATGGCACCATTCAGTAATGATGCGAAACAAGTTTAAGGAGATCCGGTCAGCTACCCGCTGATTGGACAATAGTCACAATGCCCCCCGACGGTCACTGCGATCCTAACACCAGGTATAAATAGCCACCAAAACGCTGCTGGGCATCCATTCAAGTCATCGAACATTGTTACGTTCTGAACTTCGCTTCCGATTTATTCTAAACTCATCAACAACATCATGTCTGGCAGAGGAAAGAGTGGAAAGGCCCGCACCAAGGCAAAGACGCGCTCATCCCGTGCAGGGCTCCAGTTTCCAGTGGGACGTGTTCATCGGTTTCTCCGAAAGGGCAACTATGCAAAGAGGGTCGGCGGTGGAGCTCCTGTCTACATGGCTGCCGTCCTAGAGTACCTCACTGCCGAAATCTTGGAACTCGCAGGCAACGCTGCCCGCGACAACAAGAAATCTAGGATCATCCCACGCCACCTTCAACTCGCTGTGCGTAATGATGAAGAACTCAACAAGCTTTTGGGTGGGGTGACGATCGCTCAAGGTGGTGTTCTGCCCAACATCCAAGCCGTGCTGCTCCCCAAGAAAACCGCTAAATCAAGCTAGAGTTTGCTCCCGGCAATCTTGAAACCTCAACGGCCCTTATCAGGGCCACCAATTACTCACGAAAGAATTGTTTCATTTATGAATTCCCTTCCCCCCTCTCTCTCTCTCTCTCTCTCTCTCTCTCTCTCTCTCTCTCTAGTTTAAAACGCTACACTTGGGATGAACTAAGCCTTAACAGTTGTTGTATATAATGATTGATATATATTAAATAAAGATACGCATCCTTAGATGTTATGAACAAAAAAAGTGTATGAGCAGTAAAAGAAATAGAAAGGTGGTTAATCAAAAATATATTTACAGTTACTAGTACGGATATTAGGGTGACCATGCAGGGCAAAATATTATCTTTTTAGTCGGCATTTTAATGGGAAACTATGAATATGAAATTTCCCATGAATGTGACTGTGTTTCAAGAGGGGTGACGATCAGGGGTTGATGGTGTTATCGCCATTTGATTTCATTTTTTCTTCAAATTCATATAATGATTGAGTACATTATACGTGGTAGGAGAGGATGAAGAAGAAGAAGAAGACGGAGAAAGAGAAGAAGGAGAAGGGGGTGTTGGAATAAGAGCATGTATGGATGGAAAAGAAGGGAGAAAAGTTTCTTTAAACAAACACAAACTGGCATGCAGTCATGGGGGCGGACGACCCGGGACTGTCTCCTCCCACGTACGCAACAATGCCTTATATTGACGGCGTTGCCGAGCCGATGGTTATTCGTTTTGTTAACCTCCCGACGCACCGTATATCAAGATGGCTGAGAAGAATAGCTCTAAGAAGGTGACTACTAAGAAGCCGGCCGCCCACCCACCGGCTGCCGAGATGGTTGCTACAGCAATCACCGAGTTGAAGGACCGCAATGGCTCCTCGCTGCAAGCAATAAAGAAGTATATCGCTACCAATTTCGATGTGCAGATGGACCGACAGCTGCTATTCATCAAGCGGGCCCTAAAGTCTGGCGTGGAGAAAGGCAAACTAGTGCAGACGAAGGGGAAAGGAGCTTCGGGTTCTTTCAAGGTGAATGTGCAGGCGGCCAAGGCACAGGCGTCGGAGAAGGCCAAGAAGGAGAAGGAGAAGGCAAAACTGCTAGCACAGCGTGAGAAGGCCAAGGAAAAGGCTGCAGCGAAGAAGGAGAAACTGCAGAAGGCAGCCGCCGCAAAGAAAGTCAAGGCAGCCCCCAAGAAAGCGAAGAAGCCAGTAAAGAAAACGACTGAGAAGAAAGAGAAGAAGAAGACTCCGAAGAAGGCACCCAAGAAGCCAGCAGCCAAGAAATCAACACCAAAGAAGACGCCCAAGAAGGCAGCCGCAAAGAAACCCAAGACTGCCAAGCCCAAGAAGCCTGCGGCAAAGAAGGCTGCAAAGTCCAAGTGATTTGCACGCCAACTTTCCCATCCTACCAAAACGGCTCTTTTCAGAGCCACCACATACCCAAGAAAGAAACACTTGTCCAAATGCACTCATGAGATACTATGAATATGTGTAATGAAGAAGAAAATGAAGAAGAAAAAAAGGGGGATGGGGGATGAAACAAAGAAAATGGATAAAAAGAAATTAAAAAGGGAAATAAGAATGACATGAATTATGGACGGTGATATTTGCCCAATTAGCACTGGTTCTCGTTTCAGCCCTTTTAAAATACAAACAAACTATATATAATACAGTACTTGTGAATATAAAAAAAGATGAACATATGAATCATATACGGAAAAAAAAGATGAAGGATGAGAGAGAAAGAGGCACGCGGGCGGGCTTGGGTGAGGAATGCATATATATTGAGTAATGTATATTGAGTAATGTTGGTGATGACCGATTTTTCAGTTAATTAAGTTTCGTCATCCATGTATACTGTTGGATAAGATTCGTCACCCCCTCTTTTTTCAACTCGAGCATTCAACACAGGCCTCTCTACATAAATGCATGTACTAATGCTAGCGAATACTCGCCACAAGGGGGCGCACTCGAATGGGGAGTCTCCGCACTCCAGTCCCGCATACCGAACGATGCCGAATCTCGTCACCCAAGTCCGCAATGGTGTAACAATACTCGGTGCAATCTGGTTCTAGCTTTCAAGGAGAAAGGTCGCTACTTTTTGTCGCTGCGTTTTGGTACACTTTTTCTGGAAATTATCTACCAAATGTGCTTGGATTTATAGTTATAAGTCATAGTAATTGCTTTTTTTCATTCTGGATAGTGTTATTTTGTATCTTTTAAGGAGATAAGGTAGGCATTTATATATAATTATACATTTTTCGTTTTCTGTGTGTGTTTGCGTGTGTGTATGGGTGTATGATCATACTTCACGCAGTTTAAGCGTAGCAAGCCGTACGGGCTTTAATGGACGGAATGGACGACCCCTATTCTTCCGGGGAGGAAGCTTACGACCGCACAATAATCAATGAGGGTCGGGGTTTTTTCGGGATGGGGAGGGGAATCCTTAGATCATCGAGACGATTGGAGAAAAATCGACAGAAGCTCAAAAAAAAGGCGAAGAGCTGCTAGTAGTAGCCCAACAGTGACACAAAACCCAACTAAAGAAGAAACCAACTACATGGTAACTGTAAAAGCGACGGAAGAGGGAAAAAATATCTGTTCACTTAACCCAGTAAAAATAGTCGAGGAAATAAATAAAACAATAGGAGAAATCAAGAAAATAAAGAAAGTAAATGCTACCATTATAATTACATGCACGAACAAAGAACAAATGACAAAGGCGCTAAAAATCACTGAATTGGTGAAACTCCATGTAACTTGTGTTACATACCAAACAAAATCCAAAACATGCAAGGGTGTCATTCACAATGTAGACATCACTATACCCGAAGAAGACCTGTTTCACCTTCTCAAAGACCAACAAGTATGCTATGTGAAAAGATTCCGTAAAAGGACAAACGGAACCCTAGCCCCCACCCCTTCAGTTTTGCTATCTTTTAATAACGAAAGCAAACCCACGAAGGTAAACTTTCTTTATGAGTCCTACACTGTAGACACGTATAATCCACCAGTGGTACGCTGCCATAAATGCCAGTTATTTGGTCATGTACAAAAATACTGCAAAAAAGAAATACGATGCGTAAGATGTGGAGAAAAACATGCTTTTGAACAATGCCAAAAAAAAGAAGAACCTAAATGTTTCAGATGCAATCAAAATCACTCGGCAGCCTACAAAGGATGCACGTTTTATAAAACAGCACAGAGTATACAAACCATAAAAATAAAGAAGCAACTAACATATGCCCAGGCCACGCAAGAGTTCAAAAGACAACCGATCCCCATACAACCCAGACAAACAAACAACCCGTCACCCAAATAAATAGCCAGCCCACACACAATGCCAATACCTTAGATCAACCCCAACAAGTACTAAAGGCTAACAACCCCCAGACCAATTTCCCCCAACCCATCTTTAAGCCAACTCCTACTCAATCTAAAATTCCAATACCTGCAAAGAAAGCGCAACAACCCCAGCCCGACAAAACAGAAAATCAGCAATTCCAATTGAACCCTACTGACTTTCTGTCCTTCATTGTATTTATAATAAATAACTTAGACAAAGAGACTTCCCACTCAAACAGAATACGCCTTGTAGTTGACGCAGCCAAGCACTGCCTCAACATTCACGATATAGGGGCAGAGAGTCTCCATCAACGCTTCAATTAACAACAATCAAGAAGTAGACAATAGTAGATCCCCAAAACCTCTTAGTATAGTTCAATGGAACGCACAGTCCATGAATGCCCACGGACCAGACTTTTACAACTCATTTTTTATAAAGAACCAATTTACCATGAAGCCAGATATTATATGCGTACAGGAAACCTTTTTTCACGATTACAACGTATTTAATATACCAAATTACACACATGTCATAAATAACAGGGGTTTCGAAAAAAGAGGGGGACTCGCTATCTATATCCATAACAGTTTTACTTTTATAAATTTTGGAACACCCATCGATGAAGAATACCAAAAAATAGATATAGTTATAAATAATCAGATTTTCACCCTGATTAATTACTACAATCCATGCAAAAAAATCAATCTAGTAAATTTAAACAAGTTACTAGAAAATTGCCAACAAAATATGATAATAGTAGGCGATTTCAATAGCCATAGTTATATATGGGGCAGTTCCAAAAATGATATAATGGGAAAGAAATTATAAAATTCATAGATCATAACAACTTAGTACTTTTAAATGATGGAACACCAACTAGAATTGATCCACATACAGGAAATCATTCGAATCTAGATTTATCCCTTGCATCAACAACTTTAGCATCCAAAATAGAGTGGCAAGTTTTACCTGTTTTATTCGGCAGTGACCATTATGTAATACAAATAAATATTTATATCAATACAAATCAAACAAATAACACAAAATGTCACAACTCAGATACAACGTGGTCTTCCAAAAATGTAAACTGGGATATGTATAAGAAATATATATCATCTGATATTCATCCAATTAATGTAAACAATAGCACTATTCAGGAACAATATAATATATTAACAGGCAGTATTAGAAACGCGGCAGACAAAACCATGTCCAAATCACATAAGAAAAAAACACATTTTAACCCAATACCGTGGTGGTCGGAAGAATGTGATCGAGCCACAAAAGAAAGAAATAGAGCAAAAAACAGACTTAACAGAAATCTTACCCTACATGATTTAATAGATTTCAAAAAGAAAAAAGCCCTTGCTCAAAAAATTATTAGAAACACAAAAAGTAAATATATGCTCAAATACTGCAATACACTAAATAGGACATCGGCAATAGGAAAAGTCTGGAAACAGGTAAAAAACATCAACCAATCTGGCCAAAATTTAAACAAATTTTCAAACTTAATAGACCCTGAAAATAAAACCTCAAGTATAACTAGCCCATTAGATAAAGCAAATCTTATAGCAAAGCATTTTCAGTCTATAGATAAGAGATTAAATGATCACGAAAAGGATAAAAGACAGTTATATGAGAAAGAAGTGATCGATAAAGAAATCACGAAAGATGATGTCCCAAATTTTTACATCAACTTAATAAATGAAAGTTTTACCAGACAGGAATTAATAGCTGCCATAAATGATATGAAAGATACTGCCCCGGGCAAGGACGGAATTAAAAAAATAATGATACAAAATTTACCAGAGATTGCAAGCAATTTTCTTCTTCATCTTTATAACACTATATGGGAACGGGGAACTTTCCCTGACCAATGGTACACTACCATACAGGTCCCAATCCCCAAAAAAGGCAAAGAACCAACAGATCCCGCTTCATATCGGCCCATATCGTTAACGTCTATAATATGCAAAATAATGGAAAAAATGATTAAAAAAAGAATAACATGGTATTTTGAGAAGGAAAACATTTTTAACCCTTTCCAATCAGGTTTTAGAAAAAATAGAAGTACGAAAGACCAACTTATTAGATTAGAAACAGACATTCATAAAGGTCTTATAAATAAAGAGTACACAACCACAGTTTTCCTGGACCTGGAAAAGGCATATGACCTTTTATGGAAAAAAGGTCTAATATATAAACTATATAAGATTGGATTTAGGGGTAACATTTTAAAATGGACCCGAGCTTTTTTAGAGAATAGACAATGCATCGTCAGAATCGATGATACATATTCTGACCCTTATATTATTAAAAACGGCATACCACAAGGTAGCAGTATAAGCCCTATTTTTTTTAATATAATGCTAAATGATATTGACCTCAAAGACCCCTTAGTAAAAATATCTTTATTCGCCGACGATATAACGGTTTGGTACACCCACCCACATTTACAATACGCAGAAAAGAGAATTCAAAGAGCAATCAACCAGCTATCCACATGGTGCTCGAAATGGGGATTATATCCCTCCCCGACAAAATCTGCTGTAATTGTTTTTACGAATAGAATAAACAGTGTAACGGAAATAAAAATACAAGATATAGTAATAAAACAACTTAATGAATATTGTTTCCTTGGAGTGTGGTTAGACCACAGACTCACCTGGAAAAAACATATAAACTATATCACAGAAAGATGCAGTAAAAGATTAAATCTCCTACGTTGTATCTCTGGAACAACATGGGGAAATAATAGCGAAATTTTATACATGGTATATAAAGGTCTAATCCGTTCGATATTTGATTACGGATGCGAACTGTACGACTCAGCTTGTATCACTTTAAAAAAACAAGTAGACACAATACAATACAAAGCTCTTAAAATTATAACAGGAGCTTTAAAACTAACGTCTTTAGACGCTATGCTAGTGGAATGCGGAGAAATGCCCCTGAGTTTGAGGAGGAAAAAGTTGTTAAACAACTATTTTATATATCTCAATTTTTGTAACGATAATCATCCAACTAAAGAAATTTTAATAACGTGTTGGAAATTCGAACAATGTCAGTGGAAACCGGGAGAAGGACCTTTTATTAAAAGAATAAAAGCCAACACAAGTATGAAAATTGAAAAATGGAATAGCTGTCAATCAAAATACCCATTTTGGCACCTCCCATCCCCACGAGTATCCTTTATAGTTCACACTAAAATGAACAAAAAAAGTAACGATCATCATGATCTAAAGGACTGTTCCTTAGAAGTAATATCTACCTTATATGCAGACCACCTACAAATCTATACCGACGGATCAAAGCAAAGTAATGATAGCACAGGTGCTGCTTTTTATATCCCAGAATTGAACATAAAAAAATATGCTAAAATATCCCCAATAAGTATAGAAAGGGCAGAGTTATCAGCCATTATATCAGCCTTAGAATGGCTAGACAATTTGATTTCTCTAAATGTAGTTATTTTATCCGACTCTTTATCGGCCCTAAGAGCTATTAGTAGTTATAAATATGAACAAAGTCTTGTTCTGGAAATACTATATTTACTAAAAAATCTAGAAAGAAAAAGAATAAACGTGTATTTTGAATGGATACCATCACATATCGGATTACACGGGAATGATGTAGCCGACCAACTGGCCAACAAAGCAACCAAAAGAAAATGTATTGATTTTGATATCCCTAAAAATAGAAAAAGAACATGAACATGACAACAAATACGAATGTATACAAGATTGGCAACGCATATGGGACATCTCCACCAATGGTAGATATCTATATGTTATACAAAATAAAGTCAACAATTTTTATTTTCCTAAAAACCTAAATAGAAAAGATGAGACAACCCTCCACCAATTTAGATTAGGAAAATGTCCGTTAAATGTGTATCTACATGAATTAAAGAAACGTGACGATGGAAAATGTTCGTATTGTAATGTACTCGAAACTATTCATCATTATATATTTGAATGTAAGAGATATGAGCAATTAAGAAGGCCTATGGTCCAAGGGATAAAGAAACCCTATCATATCAGAGAACTACTTAATAGCGAAAATAATATACAGGCTTTACTGACATTTGTCAGAAAATCAGAAAGATTTACGTAGTTCTAATTGCACATTAAGAATTCGAAAGAATACCTATATATATCCCAAATTTCAAACACGTTTTCTTTTTATTATTATTATTATTATTATTATTAACATCACAGTCTAGAAACGAAAAAAAAAGGTAACAACTTAAATAATTGATATCTGTCAAAACTGTTACTCCGCCCAAAATACCATTACAAGGAACATCTTCTAAATGTTGAAACTCTTATATATGGACAAATTGTTTTATTTTCCTTTTGTTTTACTTATATTCGGAATTCTCCCTTTGTGGGAACCATATTAGTAAGTTAGGGGGCCCGGGCACCACAGGTCCGCACTGGAGTGACCTAGGGGGAGTGTCCCCCTCCCCCGAAAAGCTGTCAAAATGTACCTTGGCAGCAGGTAAGATGGTGCGTGGTTAGGGGGCTGGTGGATCGCGATGTGCCACCTAGCCGAATCTATGTTTCAATTTAATCAAATAGGGGAAAAGTACATTTCCCCACGCAAAATATTATCAACTTTAATATTTTTTCAGATATTTTCAAATCAATTATAAGTTACCACCCAATATTGGGAACAAACCCAACTCTAATAGACATAGGAAGTGATGTTATAAAATGTGGTTTAATATAAATGAAATGGATATATTTACATTTGTATAAAAGGATGTGAATCCTTATGAATTTTAGAAACTAAACACGTAGAGAATCTCTGGAAAACATTTATATTCATATTATACGGTAAATAGAAAGTAAAATATGATATGTTTCAATACTGTTTAGCATATGAGATTCCTTTTTATAAACATAAAATTCATTATTATAACTTTGTTTCGGATATTGTAATGGAAGAATTAAGAAATCCAATTATAAGATTAACTTTAATCTCCATATGTTTGTTTCCCCTAGTAAACTAGAGGTAAATACACGAATGAAGTAAGAAATAGAGCACAAAATCATGTAAGAGCACACAGTGGAGGCATTTAGCATGATTACATTCCTCTAATTACGTTATCACAACAAACTGATGTACACACAGAATGCTATTACCACAAATATGTTCTACCCTCACTAAAATTCATTGACTCACTTGTGTTAGATGACAAGCACGGCGGCCTGGTAGCTGGGGCCGGGGGTGGTTGGCATTAGGTAACCCGACACATGCTCCGCCGACGATTGCTCCGCCGACATTTACTCCGCAAAACGCGACAATTGCTCCGCGACATTTGCTCCGCGACATTTGCTCCGACGTCAAATGCTCCGCCGACAGTTGCTCCGCCGACAGTTGCTCCGCCGACAGTTGCTCCGCCGACAATTGCTCCGCCGACAGATGCTCCGCCGACAATTGTTCCGCCGACAATTGCTCCGCCGACAATTGCTCCGCCGTCAATTGCTCCGCAAAACGCGACAATTGCTCCGCCGACATTTGCTCCGCCGACATTTGCTCCGCCTGAAGCGACAATTGTCGGCGGAGCAAATGTCGGCGGAGCAAATGTCGGCGGAGCAAGTGTCGCTTCAGGCGGAGCAAATGTCGGCGGAGCAAATGTCGGCGGAGCAATTGTCGCGTTTTGCGGAGCAATTGACGGCGGAGCGATTGTCGGCGGAGCAATTGTCGGCGGAGCAATTGTCGGCGGAGCATCTGTCGGCGGAGCAATTGTCGGCGGAGCAACTGTCGGCGGAGCAACTGTCGGCGGAGCACCTGTCGGCGGAGCATTTGACGTCGGAGCAAATGTCGCGGAGCAAATGTCGCGGAGCAATTGTCGCGTTTTGCGGAGTAAATGTCGGCGGAGCAATCGTCGGCGTAGCATGTGTCATGGAACCTGGCATTAGCAACCCCGCCGGTCAACGGTTGAGGGAGCCCCCGTCGTTCTCCGAGTGTGAGACTTAACGTCTACACAGGGTGCGGCGGATTTCCTCTTCGCGGCTTCCCGCAAGATTAAGCGGCGTCCAGTGTCTTGGATCTTGGCGAGGGAGTGACCCGGACTGGCAGGCTCGCCGTTACCGAGCTCTCTAAAAGAGATTTACAATGATGTAAAATAAAGCATTACAAAACCAGACCTTAACAGTATAGAGAATATCACATTATATCATGTTCATATCCTTTCCTGTGTGCCCATAGAACGCATGAGTGCCTTCATATTAATTTCCTCCATGTTTACGCCACTTTTTTTAGATTTCTATTAAAAGATAGTTTACGAGTAGAGGGAAATAGACGATTGGAATTCAAGAAAAACTTTTTGTGTATCAAATACATATTAGTAGTATTTAAAAATAAACAAGTCAATACAAGAAAGGAAAAAAAAAAAAAAAAAAAAAACTGTTTTATAATGAAATTAATTAATGAAACAAACTAGACAGTACAAAAGTGTATGTATATTTAGTTAAATAGGTAAACACTTATCTGTATGTGTGTCTTTATATGAGTATATCTTTATATAAATAGGTATATGAATAAGTATTTTTTTCAAAATCCAAGCACAGCGCGAGAGGCATAAATAGTCAATTTTGACTGAATTGCCTTAAAACCCAATCAAAAAAAAAAAAAAAAAAATTGAGGCATCATTCGCTTAGCGTAATATCCAGTCTACAGGATCACACAGAACTCGCTCTCAACTATCAATCATCATCATGTCAGGTCGAGGAAAAGGAGGAAAGGGACTCGGAAAGGGTGGTGCCAAACGTCATCGCAAGGTTCTACGAGACAACATCCAAGGCATTACCAAGCCTGCAATCCATCGACTTGCTAGAAGGGGAGGTGTCAAGAGGATCTCTGGTCTCATCTACGAAGAGACACGCGGTGTACTGAAGGTCTTCCTGGAGAATGTCATCCGTGATGCAGTCACCTACTGCGAGCACGCCAAGCGAAAGACTGTCACAGCCATGGACGTGGTGTATGCACTAAAGAGGCAGGGTCGTACATTGTACGGCTTCGGCGGCTAAGTGTAGCAGACCTCTCTCTCTCCTGGCTAGAATAACAAACGGCTCTTTTCAGAGCCACCAAATAATCAAGAAAGAATACTGTTGTATGTTATGTTAATACCGTCAAGAAAGTAAAGAAAGAAGAAAGAAGAAGAAATAAGCCGTTAATATAAGGCAAAAACGAATAATGACTGTAAATACCTCCCAGAAGAGGAGATATAGTGAGTGGTACAGACAGATGAAAGGCAAATCATGAAACAGAAAGCAGTGAATGAAATTTAGGTTGGGCAAGAAGGGTGTGTCTATTCCAAAAGAAAGGCAGATTATGAAACAGAAAGCAGTAAGAAATTTAGTTAGAAATAGTGTATAGACATTGGCATTTGTAGTATGAGGGTCCTTATGTTTGTTTTCAACTGAAATTGAACATTGTATCAAAAGAGAATTATGATTTATTTACAAAAGTAAATGCTAGTTATTAAACAGTCTACTCTGTGATAAAAGATGTGAAATGGATAAATACAAAATAAAAGATGCATGTTGTTTTCATAATGATAATACCTACTATGCAATCGTATAGCGCTTAATACAGCGCTTTAGATATATTATATATATTTCATTTGCTGTAACCAAATAATTTTGAATTACAATGTCAAAGATATTTCATTGCTCATTTCTGTTACATCATTACGTTTATTATTATTGTCTGTCATTGTTTATATTGTGTGAGAAGAAATGAAAAGTAAATTCGCTCTTTACATATAGAGCTACTACTACTACTACTACTACTACTACTATTATATAATTATATATCTCCGAGATAATGTCAAAAGTAGGAGTGAATCATAACCTGTGCAAGTATGTCTTGGATAAAAAGTCTCGACATGGTCCATATTCCCATCAAAATCATCGTCTTCTTCAACTTTTTCACATTTCTTATTCTTTGGGGATTGAATTGAACAATGCAAATAGATCCTATATTAGAACATATGCCCGTATGATCACTATGTCGCCATCTCTAGGCAGGGGATGGAACAGGCACTAATTCTGCGACGCCTAAGACCAATGAAAGGATCGAGACCGAGGCTCATTTGCATACGGACCTCAGCATACGGATCCGGCCCCGTGTATAAAAAGGAAAGGTTCTCGCTGGCCATTCACAGTATCCAAAGAATAATTGCTTGACATACACGTTTCGCTGCATCTTTACAGACCAGAAAACCTCAATTCATCATGGCTCCAACAGCTCAAGTTGCTAAGAAAGGCTCCAAGAAGGCAGTCAAGGCCCCTCGGCCCAGCGGTGGCAAGAAGAGGAACAGGAAAAGGAAGGAGAGTTATGGAATCTACATCTACAAAGTCCTCAAGCAGGTTCATCCAGATACCGGCATCTCCAGTCGGGCCATGGTCATCATGAACAGCTTCGTCAACGACATCTTCGAGCGAATTGCCGGCGAATCTTCCCGCCTCGCTCAGTACAACAAAAAGTCAACCATCAGCAGTCGCGAGATTCAGACCGCCGTCCGCCTCAATGAAGAAAAACAAAGGGGGATGGGGTTGAAGCAAAGAAAATGGATAAAAAGAAATTAAAAAGGGAAATAAGAATGACATGAATTATGGACGATGACATTTGCTCAATCAGCCTACAAACAAACTATATATAATACAGTACGAGAAAGAGGCACGCGGGCGGGCTTGGGTGAGGAATGCAATCCTATTGATGTATATTGAGTAATGTTGGTGATGACCGATTTTTCAGTTAATTAAGTTTCGCCATCCATGTATAAGACTGTTGGATAAGATTCGTCACCCCCTCTTATTTCAACTCGAGCATTCAACACAGGCCTCTCTACATAAATGCATGTAATAATGCTAGCGAATACTCGTCACGAGGGGGCGCACTCGAATGGGGAGTCTCCGCACTCCAGTCCCGCATACCGAATGATGCCGAATCTCGTCACCCAAGTCCGCAATGGTGTAACAATACTCGCTGCAATCTGGTTGATTGCAAGGAGAGCTTTCAAGGAGAGAGGTCGCTGCTTTTTGTCGCTGCGTTTTTGGCCACTTTTTCATGATTATTTTCGGTAAATCTTTTCCGAATGTGCTTGGATTTTTCGCTAGTTACATCAATGATTGGATAGTTATTTTAAATTTCCATTTGATTGTGTTATTTTGGATTTAAAGAAGTTAAGGTAAGCGTTCATATAATATTGTACATTTTCCGTTTACTGTGTGTGTGTGTGAATGCGTGCGTGTTAGCATATGTACCTATTATACGTAGATTAAGCATAGCTAGTCGTACTGGCTTTACTGAATACAATGGATGACCCCTATTCTTCCGGGGAAGAGGCCTATGTCCAGGCGGCAATAGATGAGGGTCAGGGTTTCTTTCAGGAGGGGGGTGGAGAAGACATAGACACTAGAGCTGATTTGAATAAAGTTGATAGAAAATATAAAAAAAGGCGAAGAACAGCTAGTAGCCTAAACGTAACTCATAACCAGAATAAAAAAGAAACCGATTACATAGTCACTGTCAAAGCGACAGAAGAGGGAAAAAATATTTGTCAACTCAGCCCGGTCAAAATAGTCGAAGAAGTAAATAAAGTAATCGGAGAAATCAAGAAAATCAAGAAAGTAAATGGAACCATTTTAATTAAATGTTCTAACAAAGACCAAATGACCAATGCATTCCAAACAACTGAATTAGTAAAACTACCAGTAACATGCACTCCATACCAGACAAAAACAAAAACAAGCAAGGGAGTAATTCATAATGTAGACGTCACCATACCAGAAGAAGATCTGCATCACCTTCTTGAAGACCAAAACGTAATCTATGTCAAAAGAACTAATGGCATTTTTACCCCCACCCCCTCAATTTTGCTCACATTCAATACCGACAGCAGACCAACCAAGGTCAACTTTCTATATGAATCTTATACAGTAGACTCATATAACCCGCCAGTGGTACGCTGCCATAAATGCCAGCTATTTGGTCATGTTCAAAAATACTGTAAAAAAAGAAATACGATGTGTAAGATGCGGAGGCAACCATACATTCGAACAATGCACAAGAAAAGAAGACCCTAAATGCTTTAGATGCAACGAAAATCACTCGGCAGCCTACAAAGGATGCACGTTTTACAAAACAGCTCAGAGTATCCAAACCATAAAAATAAAGAAGCAACTTACATACGCCCAGGCCACTAAAGAATTCAAAAGTCAGCCGATCCCCGCACAAGACCAGACAAACAAAGAAACCTCTACCCAAATAACTAGTCATCCCAAATACAATACCACTACCGTAGAACAGCCCGAACAAGCACCAACGACAAACGACCCCCAGACCAATTTCCCCCAACCCAACTTTAAGCCAGCTCCCACTCAATCTAAAATTCCTATACCGACAAAAAAAGCACTACAACCCCAGCCCGACAAAACCGAAACCCAGCAATTTCAATTGAACCCTACCGACCTTCTTTCTTTCATTGTATTCATTATAAATAACCTTGACAAAGAGACCTCTCACTCAAATCGAATACGTCTAGTAGTTGATGCAGCCAAACAATGCCTCAACATCCACAATATAGAGGCAGAGAGTCTCCATCAACGCTTCAACTAACAACAATCAAGAAGTAGACAATAGTAGATCCCCAAATCCTCTTAGTATAGTTCAATGGAACGCACAGTCCATGAATGCCCACGGACCAGATTTTTACAACTCATTTTTTATAAAGAACCAATTTACCATGAAGCCCGATATTATATGCGTACAGGAAACCTTTTTTCACGATTACAACGTATTTAATATACCAAATTACACACATGTCATAAATAACAGGGGTTTCAAAAAAAAAAGAGGGGGACTCGCTATTTATATCCACAACAGTTTTACTTTTATAAATTTTGGAACACCCATTGACGAAGAATACCAAAAAATAGATATAGTTATAAATAATCAGATTTTCACCCTGATTAATTATTACAATCCGTGCAAAAAAATCAATCTAGTAAATTTAAACAAGTTACTAGAAAATTGCCAACAAAATATGATAATAGTAGGGGATTTCAATAGCCATAGTTATATATGGGGCAGTTCAAAAAATGATTATATTGGTAAAGAAATTATAAAATTCATAGATCATAACAGCTTAGTACTTTTAAATGATGAAACACCAACTAGAATTGATCCACATACAGGAAATCATTCGAATCTAGATTTATCCCTTGCATCAATAACTTTAGCATCCAAAATAGAGTGGCAAGTTTTACCTGTTTTATTCGGCAGTGACCATTATGTAATACAAATAAATATTTATATCAATACAAATCAAACAAATAACACAAAATGTCACAACTCAGATACAACGTGGTCTTCCAAAAATGTAAACTGGGATATATATAAGAAATATATATCATCTGATATTCATCCAATTAATGTAAACAATAGCACTATTCAGGAACAATATAATATATTAACAGGCAGCATTAGAAACGCGGCAGACAAAACCATGTCCAAATCACATAAGAAAAAACACATTTTAACCCAATACCGTGGTGGTCGGAAGAATGTGATCGAGCTACAAAAGAAAGAAATAGAGCAAAAAACAGACTTAACAGAAATCTTACCCTACATGATTTAATAGATTTCAAAAAGAAAAAAGCCCTTGCTCAAAAAATTATTAGAAACACAAAAAGTAAATATATGCTCAAATACTGCAATACCCTAAATAGGACATCGGCAATAGGAAAAGTCTGGAAACAGGTAAAAAACATCAACCAATCTTGCCAAAATTTAAACAAATTTTCAAACGTAATAGACCCTGAAAATAAAACCTCAAGTATAACTAGCCCATTAGATAAAGCAAATCTTATAGCAAAGCATTTTCAGTCTATAGATAATAGATTAAATGATCACGAAAAGGATAAAAGACAGTTATATGAGAAAGAAGTGATCGATAAAGAAATCACGAAAGATGATGTCCCAAATTTTTACATCAACTTAATAAACGAAAGTTTCACCAGACAGGAATTAATAGCTGCCATAAATGATATGAAAGATACTGCCCCGGGCAAGGACGGAATTAAAAAAATAATTATACAAAATCTACCAGAGATTGCAAACAATTTTCTTCTTCATCTTTATAACACTATATGGGAACGGGGAACTTTCCCTGACCAATGGTACATTACTATACAGGTCCCAATCCCCCAAAAAGGCAAAGAACCAACAGATCACGCTTCATATCGGCCCATATCGTTAACGTCTATAATATGTAAAATAATGGAAAAAATTATTTAAAAAAGAATAACATGGTATTTTGAGAAGGAAAACATTTTTAACCCTTTCCAATCAGGTTTTAGAAAAAACAGAAATACAAAGGATCAACTCCTCAGACTAGAAACAGATATTCATAAAGGTTTAATAAATAAAGAGTTTACCACCACGGTATTCTTAGACCTTGGAAAGGCCTACGACCTGTTATGGAAAAATGGTCTAATTTTTAAACTATATAAGATTGGATTTAGGGGAAACATATTAAAATGGTCCCGCGCTTTTTTAGAAAATAGACAATGCATCGTTAGAATCGATGATACATACTCCGACCCCTATATAATTAAAAAATGGCATACCGCAAAGTAGCAGTATAAGCCCTATTTTTTCAATATTATGCTAAATGATATCGACCTCAAAGACCCCTTAGTAAAAATATCTTTATTCGCCGACGACATAACGGTTTGGTACACCCACCCACATTTACAATACGCAGAAAAGAGAATTCAAAGAGCAATCAACCAACTATCCACATGGTGCTCGAAATGGGGATTATATCCCTCCCCAACAAAATCTGCTGTAATTGTTTTTACGAATAGAATAAACAGTGTAACGGAAATAAAAATACAAGATATAGTAATAAAACAGGTTAATGAATATTGTTTCCTTGGAGTGTGGTTAGACCACAGACTCACCTGGAAAAAACATATAAACTATATCACAGAAAGATGCAGTAAAAGATTAAATCTGCTGCGTTGTATCTCCGGAACAACATGGGGAAATAAAAGTGAAATTTTATACATGATTACCATAGGTCTAATCCGCTCTATATTTGATTACGGATGCGAACTGTACGACTCAGCTTGTATCACTTAAAAAAAACAAGTAGACACAATACAATACAAAGCTCTTAAAATTATAACAGGAGCTTTAAAACTAACGTCTCTAGACACTATGCTAGTGGAATGCGGAGAAATGCCCCTGAGTCTAAGGAGGAAAAATTGTTAAACAACTATTTTATATATCTCAATTCTTGTAACGATAATCATCCAACTAAAGAAATCTTAATAACGTGTTGGCAATTCAAACAATACGAGTGGAAACCTGGTGAAGGACCTTTTATCAACAGAATAAAAGCCAACACAAGTATGCAAATTGAAAAATGGAATAGCTGTCAATCAAAATACCCATTTTGGCACCTACCAACCCCACGGGTATCCTTCATAGTTCACACTAAAATGAACAAAAAAAGTAACAATCATCATGATCTAAAGGACTGTTCCTTAGAAGTAATATCTACTATATATGCAGACCACCTACAAATTTATACCGACGGATCAAAGCAAAGTAATGATAGCACAGGGGCTGCTTTTTATATCCCAGAATTGAACATAAAAAACATGCTAAAATATCCCCAATAAGTATAGCTAGGGCAGAGTTATCAGCCATTATATTAGCCTTAGAATGGCTAGACAATTTGATATCTCTAAATGTAGTTATTTTATCTGACTCTTTATCGGCCCTAAGAGCTATTAGTAGTTATAAATATGATCAAAGTCTTGTTCTGGAAATACTATATTTACTTAAACATCTAGAAAGAAAAAGAATAAACGTGTATTTTGAATGAATACCATCACATATCGGCTTACATGGGAATGATGTTGTCGACCAACTGGCCAACAAAGCAACCAAAAGAAAATGTATTGATTTTGATATCCCTAAAAATAGAAAAGAACATGAACATGACAACAAATACGAATGTATACAAGATTGGCAACGCATATGGGACATCTCCACCAATGGTAGATATCTATATGTTATACAAAATATAGTCTACAATTTTTATTTTCCTAAAAACATAAAATAGAAAAGATGAGACAACCCTCCACCAATTTAGATTAGGAAAATGTCCATTAAATGTGTATCTACATGAATTAAAGAAACACGACGATGGAAAATGTTCGTGTTGTCATGTACTCGAAACAATTTATCATTATATATTTGAATGTAAAAGATATGAGCAATTTAGGTGGCCTATGGTCCAAGGGATAAAGAAACCTTATCACATAAGAGAACTACTTAATACTAGCGGGATCTCCTTTGCCAAGCTCTCTAAACAAGTTTTACAAGAATGTTCCAAAAAAACTTGAAATATTCACTTCGTATAAATATAGATTATATTATATCATGTTTACATCATTTCTGTAAGCAGATAAAACACATGAGTGCTATCAAAATTCTAGGACTTCTTTTAAAATCAGGTTTGCAAAGAAGGGGGAATGGGCAATCAACATTGAAGACAATTTTTGGATATAATAAACAAAATTATGTTATAATTAATAAATACAAAAATATAGGGGGGCGTATATGTATGTGTGGGTGAAGATTTACATAATGTATGTATATATATTGTTCTTATTCTTTCAAAATCCAAGTGCAGCGCGAGAGCCATAAATAGGCAATTATGTCTAAATTAACCAAAAGCCAAATCCAATTCTGTTTTAAAGCGAAAGCATGCGTTCAAGCCATTGTACATAGTTACGTTCTGAACTTCGCTTCGATTCACTCTCAACTTATCAAAAACATCATGTCTGGCAGAGGAAAGAGTGGAAATGCCCGCACCAAGGCAAAGACGCGCTCATCCCGTGCATGGCTCCAGTTACCAGTGGGACGTGTTCATCGGTTTCTCCGAAAGGGCAACTATGCAAAGAGGGTCGGCGGTGGAGCTCCTGTCTACATGGCTGCCGTCCTAGAGTACCTCACTGCCGAAATCTTGGAACTCGCAGGCAACACTGCCCACGACAACAAGAAATCTAGGATCATCCCACGCCACCTTCAACTCGCTGTGCGTAATGATGAAGAACTCAACAAGCTTTTGGGTGGGGTGACGATCGCTCAAGGTGGTGTTCTGCCCAACATCCAAGCCGTGCTGCTTCCCAAGAAAATCGCTAAATCAAGCTAGAGTTTGCTCCCGGCAAATCTTGAAACCTCAACGGCCCTTATCAGGGCCACCAATTACTCACGAAAGATTTTTTTTCTTATTTATGCATCCCCTTAATACTACTAATTATAGTAGGCATTTCTATAGCGCCGTCTATCAAGAAATTTTTTTTCGAGGCGCATTAAGTATTACCCCGGCTGTAGCCTAGCTGTCATTACAGCGCTCTAGCATTTCAAGGAATTAGTTCTGACCAGGTACCCTTCTACCTCACCTGGGTCGAGTGTGGCAAATGAAATTAATGCCTTATCAAAGGACATTAGTGCCGTGTCGGGAATCATCCACGAACTTTGAATTTCAATTCAAGCGCTGAAACTACTTGACTCTCTTTCTCTCTATATCTCTCAGTTTAATACGATAAACTTAAGATGAATACAGTTTTAAAGGCATCGTTTAACAATGTACAGAGCAAAATATTATCTTTTTAGTCAGTAATTTAATGGGAAACAACGAATATGCTATTTCCCCCCCCCCCGAAAGAGGGGTGACAATCCGGGATTGCTTTTGTTATTTCAGTTCAGTTTATTAATATCATCATTTCGCAGCCTGGGCTGAATTGCATGACAATTTACAATTAAAAACATATCATATTTCTTTCACAATTGTTTCAAATATACTACTAGTTAAAATACCATATAATTAACAAAGACAATGAATTGTCATCAATTTCCACTTATTACATCTGTTTGGGATATCTTCTTAGCATTCATATTAAATTCTGATATTGATGGTGTACATTTTACATAGAAGAAGAAGGGGGAAGAGAAGTTAAAGAACAAGGACCAAAAGAAGAAGGGGGAATAAGAGCATATATGGATGTAATAACAAGGAGGGGGGGGGGGGGGGGATTATAATGATTTCAATATGGTTCTTTTTAAATAATACTAACGCTGTGATATTTTTACATTTGACGTTACTCTTTTCCGAATCTTAGATGATACTGGTTTTAGCCTGGCTTCTTATAGCTAGAAAAGCCATTTAAGAATACAATTATATTTTTCTATTTTTCTTTCAAGCTGAATGTGCAGGCGGTCAAGTCCAATAAGGAGAAGGAGGAGGATAAACTGCAATCCCAGCGTGAAAAAGCCAAGGAAAAGGCTGCAGCGAAGAAGGAGAAACTGCAGAAGGCAGCCGCAACAAAGAAGGTCAAGCCACGCTTCAAGAAAGCGAAGAATCCAGTAAAGAAAACGACTGAGAAGAAAGAGAAGAAGAAGACTCCAAAGAAGGCACCCAAGAAGCCAGCAGCCAAGAAATCAACACCAAAGAAGACGCCCAAGAAGGCAAACGCAAAGAAACCCAAGACTGCCAAGTCCAAGAAGCCTGCGGCATGTTATTTGAAATACAAAGAAAATATAAAATACTTCGATATTGAGGAAGTTAAGAAACTATTAGAAATGTTAAAATGATGATATTAAGATATTATGTTGATCTTGTATATAATTCATGTTTAATTTTACTTGTTTTGTAAATAATATATATGTATTTTGAAATGGAACAACAAAGTCCCTCTGAAGAGGTAAAGAGAAAAAAAAAAGCCTGCAGCAAAGAAGGCTGCAAAGTCCAAGTGATTTGCACGCCAACTTTCCCATCCTACCAAAGCGGCCCTTTTCAGAGCCCCCACATATCCAAGAAAGAACGCTTGTCCAAATGCCTTTATAAGACACTATGATTATGTGTAACATTAACATTTACAAATTATAGTTATAAGAAAAACAAGAGCAATTCTTTTAAAGAATATGGCCTTTGATTCTTTGAATCATCAGTAGTTTAAAAAAATGTTACCGGGCGCTGATCGATTCTGATGAGATAGGAAGTAGGAAGAAAGCAACAACAGAAAAGTGTTTATTGTGGTGGTCGATGACTTAAAGGTACTATGTCCCATTTGCGGGCCAGAAATATGAAAAGGTTAAATTCCAACGGCATTTGAAAGATAATGCTAATTTAGAACTTCCCTGCAAGAAGGGGGCTTGATAATGTCTTTAAGTGGGAAAATAACGACTATTATTTATCGAATCGACGTAAGTGCTACCAGGTCAGTTAGTAATAGTCTGATTTTCCGACCATTGTACCGAAAGGTCCTACGTTTTGTGCTGCGCAACGATTCAATCAGTTTAATGTGGCCTTTCAAGAAGTGGGTTATTGATGCAGACAAATGCTCATATATACCCTTTGCAGCTCATGTCATGTATGTTATTACCAAGGAAGAAAACAGCCAGCCAGTCACTCATAGTGTCTGACATATTCATAATTCTTGCAAGGTTCTTGGCTGCAAAAGGGACATAGTACCTTTAAGGTAATTTGAATACTTAGGAATTGTAATTGATAACTTCACGTTTCTTCCATTTTCTCTCTTTTCTTTTCTCTGCTTTTCATTCTTTCTTCTTTCTTTCTTGTCTCCCTTGTCTCTCTTCTCTCCTCTTTTATGTGACATCAATTTTCTTCTTTCAATTATCTTCCATCTATATGTACATGTACATGTATTAGCATACAGTTATCTTGTTTGCGTACATAACAGTGTGTCATATGTTATGTAACAGTACTAAGCACATGTCTATAGTCACAAAGCAATGTTTTAAATGAAATGGTATGTGCATCATCTTACTGCTAATTAACTGCTCTTCTCTTCATTTCCCCCTCTCTCTCTCCCTCTCTCTCTCTCTCTCCTTCTTCCTTTCTCTCTTTTCTCTTTCCCTCTCTTGTCTCTCCTCCTGGACATTCGTTACGATGTACGGTTAGTCTGTTAGCAAAAATATACACTTTTTATCTGAAATTTGTATTAATTGATACATAATTGATTTCCGATCTCGTCTGTGATTTGTTCTATGTATATGTCCGTACCAGGATAATTATCTTTGGAAAATCACCCCCGGAAAACTACCCCCGAGGACAATTACCCCCCAGAGAATAACTCCCCGGAGAATTAATCCCCGAGGACAACTACCCCTAAGAACAATCACCCCGAGGAATTTGCAACACTGTGACGTATAATGTGAGCTTTTCTCAAAATTGATATTTACAGAGAATTTCATGAACCTCTAATTTATTAGTATTTTATGAAGTTCATAATTAAATTAGATGTGTGAGCGGGGGGGGGGGGGGGGCTGATGTTCCCCCATTCCTTCGTATGTCTGCCAAGGAGTAAAGTACATAAATTGTCTTTCTTAGAAATGTAACAAAACATTGATCGCAGAAGAAAATGCGTTGCAGCCTGTCTTCCCATCAATGGCCGAACAAAGCCGTATTTAGGATGTAAGATTTCAATTATGCATCCTCTGTCAATTTCCAGCTTATCGTGTATTAATGGGCCCTCATCCATGATCCAAAATCAACTTTCCTTCACGTTATATACTTGATTTGATTTGATTTGATAAGGTTTTATTCGAATATTCAACAATACAGCTGGAAGCTGATGCAAGTGAATTTACAAGGTAAAAATAATTCCATAGACATATAAATATCATTATATGCTTTTACAGTTTTAAATAAATCCAGATATAAACAATACATAGTAATTAAATCATAAACAATGAAAACAATAATAATATTGAGTTCGGTTTGCATACTTGGATATGAAATAATATAAAATCAAAGGATATAAGATCAGATATACAGTTTGAGAGTTGGTGCAAGATATCTTGATGATGTTTTAAGAGAAAAAAATCATTAATGATTATTACAATAATACATATGTTGTCATGCTGAAATAAAATATATTTTCTTGTACAGTTATTCATTTTGAAATAGATATTGCCTTCTAGTTATATCTACGGTGCAATGTCAAACGAAAATATATAATAATAATAATAATACATAAGATTTATAAGGCGCCAAATCCATTTGACAGTCAAATGCTCAAGGCGCAGCTTGTGCAAGAGATGAAATATATACATGATACATTTATACAAAGTGCGATAGGAAAGGTACAGACATGAAAGATTATGGTAATCAATTATAAGCTAAATTAAACAGATATTTCTTAAGATTGTTTTGTAACACTTCAGCAGAACTGCTATTCTTGATCCATTGAGGGAGAGTATTCCATAATGAAGGCCCAGCATGAGCGAAGGTTCGCTCCCCCACTTTGTTTTAACCCTAGGAGTAACAAGTAAGCCAGAGTTTTGAGAACGTAGCTGTCTAGAAGGAAAGTAATGCTTAATCAAGCCGATGTTATACTGCGGAGCAGAGCCATGTAAACAGTGAAATAATAGCAAAATAATCTTGAATACAACACGGTTTTTCTACATTCATTACATTGATTCTGTAACTCCACAGCAGCTGCTTCAACCGGGTTGCCGCAAAAGAATGTTAGTGTAACAGGTCAGAATTGAACTGTTTTATAGTGAAAAATAGCTATCTATTTCTAATCAATATCTCCTCAGGAAGAAAGTAAGAAGTTTATATGTTTACAAACTTTGTACTTCAAAGAAGTATGACTCACACCTATTCTGAGTAGAAGCTATCAGTATGTTATTTGTTATATTGCTTGTAATCTTTAGAAGTTTTAGTTATATAATGTGTTGTTGAGATTAACTCTGGATAATTGTCTTTTGCAAGACAGTTGTAATTAAAAGTAATGTTTTTTAAGAGTTAACAGTTAGTGGATATAGTCTGAATCTTCTTCAGTTTTCTCTTGTATATCTATAGAGTAATAATTCACAATGATTTGTATTAATTATTATTCCTTTAGGTATTGACAATCAAGATGTAAGAAGCGGGTACAATGAGAGGAAACAGTCCTCTAGGCCAGATTGCCAGGGTGAGTGGGTTATCATATTCAATGTATAAACCACTAATTCAATGTAGTTTTAATTGGGAATTATGTTTGATTGTTTGACAAAGTTCACTTGATGGTTGTATTCATTTATTTGTTGGGAAAGTTATCCATAACGATGGAAGAACTTTATTTGTGATTAGATACTTGTTATTTTCATGCAATATTGATTAAGTTTTAATGAATGTAATATAAACAACATGTTTATCATTTATTATCATGAGTCGGCTTGACGTCATATTGTTGGAATTCGTATCTTAGAGTCATTAACAAATATTATGTTTATCACTATTATGTGTGTTTTTCAAACATGTCCACATTTTTATTTAATTGTTTTAACTTTGTTTATTTGTCCAGGCTTTAGCTTTGGCTTTAGCTTACTTTAGCTTTGTTCACTTTGCACCTGAAATAAAAAGAACCGCAACACAACGAATGGTGTGATGAGTATTTTCTACCAGTTTCCGCGTGTGATCGGCGTGTTACATTAGTTACATAAGATTTTTTTCGGAGAACATTGATTTTGTGTAATAGAAATATCAGAAACGGTTAGGAGTATGTAATATCTTGAGAAAATCTAATTCTAAGATGATAAAGTGTCTTTCTTTCAAGTTTGCTGACAATATTTTGACAGCAATGCGCCCGAATATCTTTTATTTCAAAATTATATTGTAACCAAATTCATTATATTGAGAAACGTGATATATAAGGTCAACGAGAGACTCGAAAATTCTCATATTATCCTATCAAGGTCAAGACCGAATATATCACTTTTTATTCAATATGTACATTCGACGGCGAGGTTACCGCATACAGTACTTTAAATCGTTTTTGGTGTGTTGATTACAAACTAATTTTTTACCAGTTTGAAAATGTCTTCTATTTGTTTTGAATTCTTGCTCGTTCGCTTAATTAAAAAAAAAATGTGCCCCTGCATGGTATAGCACTTGACAAGTGCCAGGGTGATACCAACAAAATAATCTGTGAAAAAAAATTGGGATTGGAAATAACTTTTTTTTTTAAAGAGGGTATCCGCTCCAGAGAAATGTATTTTCATGCATTCTGAGAAGCACTGGACAATGGCGAGTTTTCGCTCAGCAACTTACAGACCTTCGCGGTAGCAGAGCACTCAGGATTACGGCCGTCGCACACTGACCGTGTGCGATACAATACGTGGTTTCGCTTTTCGGTGAATGCGTACGTATCTCTATGGAGGTATTGCATTTGCAATGCCCTTAGGCAATTTTCGTAATGTAACCAAATTTAATGCATACGTCTTTGTGAAGTGCCTCGATACAAAATACTTCATTCACCTGATAAGGATAAAGTGCCAACTAATATTTCGGGGGGGGGGGGGTAGAAAGCACCTTAGCCAGCCCAAGGGGGGAATTAAACCTCCTTACCCCCCTAGATCCGCCCCTTACACGAATGACTCTTCGGTGAGTTTTTTTTCTTCCGATTATTGTTTCTGAACAATAACAACATGAATATGGATACAACATGAATTGTTTTAAAACTTGATGTTAAATTGCTGAAATTTGATAAAAAGCCGTTTTGTGGCTTGGTCGAGAAGGGAATAGGCCATTTTCGTAATGTAATCAATTTAATACATACGTCTTTGTGAAGTTCCTCAATACAAATTATTTCATTCACCTGTCTAGGATTCGCAATAGTCAGAATGCAAACTGCATGTATTAAGTGTGGCAACAACTAATGTATGCAGATTGGATTCTGTCTATTTAAATACTATTATTATTATCAGGTGAATGAAATAGTTTGTATCGAGGCACTTGATTCACTTGGGGCGTCATTCCGAACGCCCGTAGATTTGGCCAAAACCCGTTCTAGATTTCAGGGCCTCAGCGGTCATCCAACTGTTACTATAGTAACTTCTCGATTTTGCACACGAACCGCAGATTCTAATTCCGCAATGAGTTTGCAAAAATTGTCTAATAAGCCAGTTCACGGTTGCAGTACGTACGTCTGAGCAAGAGCAGATAAAGGTCATTGCAGAACAAATTTTGAAATACACGGAGACGAAATACTGGATACGTGCTCATGAAAGTTATGTATCATTAATACTTTCATGCACATTCAGTGCACTCCATTGTACACAGGTGGAAGTATTCTTTGAAAAGAGGGAACAAATGCTATTTATAAAGCACCTCTGTCGCTGTAGGAGTGATTATTTCAAAATGTACAAAGTGGGACCTCTTCATGTGTTGAAGATCTGTAGATATTCGGGGTCATTGCAGTAATGTGCTAACCGTGAACTGGTCTATTACCTAAAACTTACATTCTTCGTGGAAAACAGCAATGACACTGGTGTTGCATACATTATACTTAAAGGGAAATGTGTATTAATGACCAATAAGCGCCATGAGCGTCAAAACCTGACGGATACCGGCGCTATATAAATAACCATATTATTTGTTATTATTTAAGTGCTATATTATTAATTGAACGAATGTGGGTTCATGCATGGGATTTGGAGGCTCGTCACAATACTTCTCAATGTGTCAGATCGGCTTTTGCTATCGAATCCTGATTGTCCACGGGGTAGTTGTCCTCGGGAGTTAATTGTCCTTGGGGGTAATTCTCCGGGGGTAATTTTACAGGGGGTAATTGTCCTTGGGGTAATTGTCCTCGGGGGTAATTTTCCTAGATCGTTTTCTTGGGGCTAATTTCCCGGGGGGGGGGGGGTGACTGCCTAGGGAGTACTTCTCCTAGAACCGTATTTTTCATTGTTTGTTGTCATGTACAATTTCTAGAATATATTTAAGTAAGTATTGTCTGTTGAGAGCCAGGATAGTACACATATTACGGGTTAGCAAACATCTGGTTCTCAACAGAGAGACTAAATTATATTACATTGTTATGTAATTTATGTTATTTATGTTATATGTATTATTTGTTACTGATAGGTTAAAGTATTGATATATTTTATACAAATGTGACTCGTAAGATGAATTGTTTGCCTTCCTTCTAGTTGTGCATGACAATAAAGAAATTCAATTCAATTCAACGTGTTCATGACTTTTTTTAAATTAAAAAAATATAAATATTTAGAGCAGGTCGTTATTAGACGGGTTTAATTCAATTCAATTCAGTTCGCAGAATACAAATCAAAGTATTGTCGTGTTGGGATCGGTCTATTGAGTTATTGGCAGTAGGAGAGGTACATAAATATAAAGCAGCAAGGAGAGACTTGTAATTCCGGAGCTATATGAGAGTATTTATTACCTCCAAACTTTGGAGACTCAAATCGGTCACATCATTATGAACTGCATATGTAAAACACTAGATGAAGAGAGAGCCAGCTAGAAAGAGGGTCTTGATCTAATGGTGATCAAAACTGAACTCCCCTCAGAAAGCCAGAACCTCTCATAATTATACAGGAGGACACAAGGAATATCAGGCTAGGTTACATTGTGTCAAAGGGACAAAGACAAGTCAATTCTAGCTAACACTGTTCTGGGAAAGGGTCTTACCAAACAAGGGGGGCTTTGGTTATTGGGAGGAAGACAGGAAGTCTTTTGTTTTGGTGGTTTAGGGGCACTTTAAAGATGTATACAATTCGTGGTGTATTTAGCTGGAATAAGTTATTAAACAAATGTCTTGGAAGGGGGTCTGGTATTTCGCAGGTTGGGTCTTATCTGTATTGGGGCATACTGAGTGATATTACATATTATTACTAAGGGGGTGTAGATTTGTAATACCTTTACATAACAGTATACGTCATAACTTTAGAAACAAAGGTTATATGTGGGACTTTCCATGAAGTTTGCGAAAACCTGTTGAGTTGGATAACCCATTACAGAAATACAAGATATTATAAGCACCCAACAATAAATTAAAGATAAAGGTGAATTCTGGTAATGCGATTGCATTGTGAAAGAAAAGTTGTAGAATGGATCAGAACAAGTTGATAATGTAGCATGTAAGTATTGGTGTGCACTGCAAGGTTCTGGAGTCACAAAATCATGATAAATTTGGCACAGTCTCGGTAAAGTAACAAGCACTGTACACAGAAAGCTGTATATGGGACAACACAAATGGTTTCGGGGCTTGATTTCCTTATCTTTGTATGCTCATTACTCGGCATGTATACATTTCCTTCCAAAATTGTTTGGCACATGACATTTATTTGTAATCTTGAACATTCAGTGTAAGTTTTGTTTGATTCTGTGAGAATTCATTTTCCTTTTTTAAACCAGAAATCAAGTTTATCTTTAAGTAAAGCAAACAAAGTTCTTTTGTTCATTTATTGTAACATCCCGACCGATCTTGAATTGGAAAAGGCGTGTGCAGAATTTTTTTCAAACCATAAATTTGAATATTTTCATTAAATGTTAAGGTTAATAGGTCTAAAAAGAAAGCCCGGAATCGCTTGATATGTGTTAAATATTTGAATTGGGTTATCATGTATTTAGATGGACACAAGCCTTTCTTAAGAAGAGGATGACATCCGATTTAGTGGAATGTTGAGTACTTTGAAGAAATGTTGCCGGGTGCTGTTCCATTGGGATAAAATAGAAAAGGGAGAAAGAGAAGGGGAAAAAAAGCGTAAGAGTTCACGTGGTTTTCGAATACTAAGTGCGTTGATATTCATTGTAAAAGACTGATTAAGCCGTGCAAAGTTGTGTGTATTGTTTTGGACTTTAAAACGAATGCAAATATGTAGATCTGGTCGTGATTCGACGGTTTTTTTTTTTGTGGTGTGCCTTTCTTATGACATTCCGAACGATCTTGATTGGGAGAAGACGCGTGGCAAAATTTCTTTGAACAATTAATTTAAATAGAAACAGAGAACTAAAAGGAATGCCCGGAATCGTTTGAGACGAGGTAAATATGTTCATTTGGTTATCATGTATATACTACTTAGATTGACAACAAAACTAATTTTCGTAAAGAGTATAAAGAAAGAAGAAGGCCCCAAAAAGCTAGAGTTCATGTTGGTGACCGATGATTATGGCTAACAAGTTTATGACTTTATAAAAAGTACACATGTTTATAGTGGTCGTGATTGGACGGGTTCTTTTGTTCTTTGTTGATTGTAAAAATCGCGACCGATTTCGAATGGTATAGTAGACACCTGGCAAAAGAAGAGGACAAATTTTTTTCCATAACATTAGTGGAACAACTTCTTTTTGATGATGCTGTTTTATATGTTCATGGAGTTTTATTTTAATTAGGGCGTAGTGCGATCAGGTGTATGCATGCATGGTTACTCTATTGGAATTGAAAATGATTAAACGACACAATGTAACGAGTTCATAACTTTAAAACGAGTGCAAATATTCAGAGTTGGTCGTGATTGGCCGGGTGCTTTTGTTCATTTATTGTAACATCCCGACCGATCTTGAAATGCAGAGGACGCATGGCAGGTTTTCCTTAACAATACATTGGAATATTTTCATTAAATGTTTAAGGTGTATAGGTCTAAAAAGAGTGCCCGGCATTGATTGATATATGTTAAGTATTTGAATTGGGCTAGCATGTGTATAATACTTAGATGGGCAACAAAAGCACTTATTTTGAAGAGGACGGCATCTGATTTAGTACGAAGAAATGTTGCCGGGTGCTGTTCCATTCTGATGAAATAAGAAAGGGAGAAAGAGAAGGGAAAAAAAAGAAAAAAAGTAAGAGTTCACGTGGTGTTCAAATACTAATAGGCCAGTTTCGTAATGATAACTACATTTAATGCATAGGTCTTTGTGAAGTGCCCCAATAGAAATTATTTCATTCACCTGATAAGAATAATAGTATTTCAATAGTCAGAATGTAAACTGCATATATTAAGTGTTGCTAGGTAGGTCAAGCCATAATGTTTGTCCTACCTGGCAACAACTAACGTTTGCAGTTCGAATTATCTCTATTGAAATACTATTATTCTTATCAGGTGAATGAAATAATTTGTATTGAGGCACTCCACAAAGACATATGCATTCAATTAGGTTACATTAAGAAAATGGCCTATTGCATTGATATTCATTGTAGAAGACTGATTAAGACACGCAAAGTTTTTTTAACGAATGCAAACATTTAGATCTGGTCGTGATTGGACGGGTTCTTTTGTGTATTTATTGTGACATTCCGACCGACCATAATTGTGAGAAGACGCGTGGCAAAATTTCTTCTCACTATAAATTTGAATATAAATAGAGAACTAAAAGTAATTCCCGGGGTCGCTTGAGATAGGTCATTGACCTATTACGGATGGACATTCGACGTGATTCTTTCTTTGATTCAATGAGAGTCACCGCCTTCTGATTATGTGCATATTAATGAGAACATTCAGCTGTTTTAACAATAACGACTGCGTTAGCATTTTCGGTCATTGACAAAGGAGCAGTTTCCCTCTGGTTGGTTTTGTTTGGATGGTGTGCTCTGTATGGCCCGAATTCACAAAGCAAGGTTTGGTTTCAGACCAAGGTTTATGTGCGTCATATGACGCGTTTTAGACCTTGGTTCAGACCTTGGTCTGAAATGCATTTCACAAAGGAGGTTTGAGCTCAGACCAAGGTTTTCGTACGTCATATGACGCGTTTCAGGTTTGAGTTCAGACCTTGGTCTGAAATTACATTTCACAAAGCAAGGTTTGTCCTCAGACCAGGTTTATGTACGTCATCAGACCCGAAATTTACAGACTGCTCAGATAGGAGGTTTGTAATTTCTCAAACCTGGTTTGAGAGCTATCAACCAATCAGGATGCAGCACTGGGTGGAGATAATTTATGCTCGATTGATTTCATCCAAATAATTCACCGCCAAAACAATCTGCGATAGTATCTGGTCAGCCCGATTTTAGTGCAATTGAAATCTCTCAATCTCTCGATCCTTTCCTTAAAATCGTAAGTATAAAACCTGTACATGTAGTCGAATTCATACTCTTCACGTTACTGACATTTTACTATTTGATATGCTTTATAACTTTCCATTTTCCATGAAATGTTCGGTGTTTTCATATCCGACGGCCTCTCAATTCCAGAGTTCAGGGACTGAGTCTGAGGGAGCTCGAGTCCAACGCCCAAGGCGGCGGCGGAGCTCGCACCCTCTGACCCTGGGCTGGAGTTGGGCCTAGCCGGGCCGGGCCTACAGTAGATATCTGAGTATGACTGTCATGTTTAATTTTGTCTTGTTGTCAGCAATGCCATGACACATGCCAATTAGACTAGGCCTAGACCTACACTAGTTATTACAAATTCATGATAATGATAATAATACCAGGCTCTAGCTTAGGCCTGGCAATGATGTCCATCACTTGACTTGGACACTGGTACCTAAATAGACTCTAGTTACCATTGATGGTAACTTTGCCATCAATGGTAACTGCCATGGAAACCTTGATTTTGATTGGCTGTTGAGCCCTGTTACCATGGTAGTTGCCATTGATGGCAAAGTTACCATCAATGGTAAGTTTTATGCAACAGGGCCCAGATCTAGATCTAAATAGAAGTGGCATCAGCAATGCCAATGTTCCCCAAAATGAATCACACTGACAAGCATAGACCAAAAGCTTCAGTCTCTCTATATTGCCAGTTCACTGAGACTACGTCTGGCTCCATACAAGACCTCCGATTATAGAATGTCAACAAATGTCAGTTTTATTATCTAGAAATGACCCATATCAGACGGTTATTTCTGATTATGAGTCGTGACAAGCAAAGCTTTTATTAAATTTAGATCTGGTTCTAATTGTCTTAATTAACTGGCTTAGTCTCCAGAGCCAGGATCACCAACAAAGTCACAAGCACAAGTAACATTTCTTTATTTTAAAAACATTGTTTAAACATTTGTTTCATTTTATCTTCACTCTAGTAAAGATGGTAGAAATGCAGCTGATTCAGCATATTGGAGGAGGAGCTGGAGCAACATATAGCAGCACAACTGGGCAGAGGCCTCTGAGATTGGGAAAACCCGCTGGATGATGAGCCTTTTGTTTTAGATTGAGGTACTTTGAATTCAAATTCTTTATTGGGAAAGTTGGCGAAAACATGGCCAAACTACTTGATGAATATTGTTAACATAGCTATAAAAAAAGGGCTTCTGTTGTAAAATCCAACACCCTAGTGTCGTTATTAAAATCCAGAAATATTTCAATTCATGTTGACCGCCTAAATTCACTGTTCGTTTGCCCCGCTCCGCTGGTCTGCCTACGACCGTGCAAGCCCTATGAGGAAATTATTCAGATTATGTGTTGGAAACAAGTTTGTGATTTGTTGCTTAAATTTCACAAAAGGTGAAGCCGTGAAGGAGATTAGAAAAGGCATAGACAATTTTGTCTTTTACGTTAAATTGATTCACACCACATCTAGAAATCAGGATTTTTTTTTTTTTTAAGTGACAGTGACAGTTGGGTATGTAAAAATATAATAGCATAAACCAGCAAAAAAATGATTTATTTGAATGCTTGTTTTTTAATTTTTTTTAAAAAGGTAATTCGATCTAAAGGATGCACCATGAGGAGGCGGCATGCCGTGTCATATTCATCTGTTTGCCGAATGGAGAGTAGTGAGGGATGTTTCCGAAGCTGTTGTCAGAAGAAAGGGACAAGTCATGAAGTTTCCTACAAGTACAAGTTACAACAAGGCAAAAAGTGACTACTATTCAGAAGCAGTTTTTCCAGTACTGCAGATTTCCAGGAGTTGCTGTTGATGGGACACATGTTTACATCAGGAGCCCTGGTGGGGCAAGAGCCAGGTACTACTTCAATAGGAAGAACAGGTACTCCATCGATGTTCAGGTGAGAATAAATGAATACATCATGACTGGATCCAGCACTGCTTTCCCTTTAGACCTTTTTTTTGTACCTTGCAAAATGTTCACATTAGATATATACACTCTCCAGTCTTGTGTGTTGTACATCCATGCTAATTCATTGGTGACCAATGCAAGATTTCTAGTGGCCAAATGGATATTAAAGTAATATTCGCGTACAGGTACTCATTTCACTGCCTTTGTACACAGTTAAGAATATCCAATGGATAGTTAAACTTAAAAATCCTAACACTCGTAAATATTTTTTTAACGAAAGGGAAATTTGAAAAATCAAAACTTGTTCCATCCTTCTATTGGCAATTCGGATATGACCTCTAGATTTCTGATATTTTGTTGATGGCCATGGCATTTGGGCCACTGTTTTTGCCATTGATCAATGAAAGAAAAAACAACAAAGAGAAGCATGTAAATTGATCAATGGCAATTACCACTATATATTTTAAACTATAGAAAAACAAACAGGTTCATTTCCAATAAAAAAATATGCGAGAGTGGGTACCCCCCCCCCCCCCCCCCCCCCACACACACAAAGCATTTGTTGTTTTAGGCTCGAAATGTTTTGTTAAAAGTGAGATTATTTTTGTTTACATTGTTACAAGATAAACAATGAAAACATGAGTTAAAAATGAAGAAATACTTCATCAGTCAATAAATATAGGGTAATTAGCATTTTCTTCCAATTTTTGTTGTATAAATAGATATTGAAAAGCAATTATCACATATTCAACTGCATTTGCATTAATTTCCATAAATAACAAGTGAAATTTATACATTTCACGGCCTATCTGAAGTGTGAAATGAGTGAGTTTTCATAACTAATGAATGCCAACATGTTATTTCATGTTGACAGGTTGTCTGTGATTATGCTTGGAAAATAACTAGTATCGTTGCAAGGTGGCCTGGACTGGTAGCAGCCACGATGCCAGGATCTTTTCTGAGTGTGCACTGAATTGACAGCTTGATGCTAGGGCATATGAATAACAGTTGATTCTTGGAGATAGACTATAGGGTAGGTAGATTATTTCTTTATATGAAAACATTTGTTTATTCTTTTTCTGAATCAATCTTGTTTCCTTTTTTGTATTTGGCCAACATGTGACATGTTAGGAATGTTCATTTGGTAATATAGTAACAACTCGCATTAAGCAATTAATTCAAACGAGCTCATGTGCTTTTAAATTTCAGTTCACAAATCACAATTAATGTTTTTGATATCTGGATGCAATTTGATTAGTTTGTTGTCAAGTGGAACCTCATAGTTTTTGTATTAGTGACACAGGATTGAATAATTCCTGATTATGTGTACAATACATTGTATCCTTTCTATAGTATTACCCCCCCCCCCCCCCCCCCCCCCCCCCCCCCCCCCCCCCCCCCCCCCTCCAAGAAAAAAAATGAACAAGTTGAAATTAAGAATATTGTTTATGATATTGTTTATTTTGTCCATTCAATTTTGCAGGTATCCATGCCTTCCCTGCCTCATCAGAAGCCATTTCTTCATTCAGAGGGTCGACCACAGGAGGTCACTGACGGGAGGCTATCTCATCAATTCAGTTCTCAATTAACATAAGAAAAAGAGGATCATGGGGGATTAACAGGCACAGATTGGGGAAGTTTTCTATATAGAGGGAGCAAGTAGCTACAAGTAGTACAGTGGGGCTTTAACACTTCCCACACAAAAAAGGGAGATGTGTGATTGAGCGCATATTTATTAAATGCAAGGATGAGGACGTTCCATGCCTCATCAATCTAAGAGAGAAGGTCGACACTTCTTAATTATTTTTATGCTTTCCTGTTGCCCATATTGGGGAAATTCACGTTGTGCAAATATAGCATTGGTTTGGACAAGTATAGCCTAAAACAGCTAACACTGGAGCTTACTAACAAGCATTTATTGCTTTCTTAGCTGTCGAGTAAAATAACCACCACTATCTATCTATTTAGTGAGCTATACATTATTTAATTAAGGATTCCACAAAAAATTTCAATGTATACAGTAATAAGTTATAAAATACAGATTTAACTCGATTGCAACTGGAATTACCTCAAAATGTATTTCAAAATACGGCCCCTCCTTGGTGTTCCCACAATACTTCGTAGTTATGCAGCATTACATCAAGAACCTGGGTGTTGAACTGTTGATTATTTATGAATATTTTTTATGTTATGTTTAGTTGATAAGTATTTGTTGTCACTCTGACGGTATTTGTAATTAAGTGTTCTCTATAGATTAAATGCACCCGATTTAACTATAAGTAGCATTGTATACACTGCTGAGTTGAGGAGTGGGTCAATATAAATTATTTGGTTGTCAGCTAGGGGAGAGTATTCGAACAAATATTATTTTACTGTACTCAACGAAGTCAGAATTAAAGAATTTTTATGTGCAAATTTGAATTTTCGTCACCAATTTTGTTGTATTTCTGATTTTCTTTCTGCTAATAGCGCTACAGTGAGACTTTTAATTGGCCTTCAGAGCCTCTCTTAACCTCTAGTGGGCTATATTTCATATAAGCATGCTACAAATGTGAACTGCATTGTTTGAACAAACGGTAGATTACTATCGTGTTGTATGCTCAATTATTTATGTAAAACATGAAAATACAAATACAATATTCTTGCTTTCATATATTTACAAAGATAACTGAAATAGATATGTGTCAGATTATCTCTCTCTCTTTCTCCCTTTTTTTTTGGGGGGGGGGGGGGGGTGCAGATGTGTGTGTTTGCAGTTTGCATGGTTTTGCATTATGTGTTTCATTGCAAAAAAGAAGAAGAAGAAGAGAGAGAGAAAGTTGAATAGAGAGAGAGGGGACAAAGAAAAAAATTAATAGAGAAAGGGAGGGAGAGAAAGATGAATAGAGAGAGAGAGAGGGGAGAAAGAAAAAGAATTAATAGAGAAAAGGAGAGAGAGAGAGAGAGAACAAAAATGGGTATAGAAAGAGAGAGGAGGGACAGGGAGGGAGAGAGAGAAAGATGAATAGAGAGAGAGGGGAGAAAGAAAAAGAATAGAGAGAGAAAGGGAGGGAGAGAAAACAAAAATGGGTAGAAAGAGAGAGGAGGAACGGGGACAGAGAAAGAGACGGAGGGAGAGAGAGGGGGAGAAAGAAAAAGAATAAATAGAGAGAGAAAGGGAGGGAGAGAGAACAAAAATGGGTAGAAAGAGAGAGGAGGGACGGGGACAGAGAAAGAGACAGGGAGGGAGAGAGAAAGAAAAGATGGCCATAGAGGAATTTTTTAAAAATTAATATTATATGGAAATCATTTACCAGTTACAATTTTGATGTGAAAAAATAGCCAGTTGGGGAAACAAACGGGGAACTAGTTAAAATAATAATTGATTGACCATTCTAACAAAATAACTATATAGATCTATAGTAATTAACAATTGCAATCAAATGAATTAATATATTAATCACAATAAAAACTTAATTCATATTAAAATGTCGTTGACGAAGCTGTTCATGATGACCATGGCCCGACTGGAGATAATTATTATTATTATTATTAGGTGATTTTATTGATAAGAATTTTTAACCCCCAAAACAATAAGACTCTTACAGTTAATTTAAAAGAGCCCTTGACAACCTTAGATGTATTTATCTAACGAAGGTTTCCAGGTGCCGATGTCAATTTGTTCTTGTTCAGATTGAGTGCTTCACCAGCACCACACAAATGTGAGTACATGGGGCACTTTCTGCATCGGCGCGCCAGTTTGGTTCGATTAATTCATGAAAATGCAATTCAAAAGTTTATTTCAGAGATGTTCTAACCATCATCTTTTCAAGATTGCTCATTAAGATGTCCAGATCGTACTAAGAATGCTTAGTTTAACAGTTTTTTCAATTCTTAACATTTAAACCCTAGCCCATAAAAATTATGTTAGAAACCCTATGGCTGAGACTAGTTTTACAAACCTTGGTCGGAGGTTCGGGAATTACAGACCAAGGTTTATACAAACCTTCCTTTGTGGAATGGGTTTGAAAATAAACCAGGTTTGAGCTCAGACCGAGGTTTGTACAAACCTTGGTCTGATCAAACCGGCTTTGTCCTCAGACCTCCGTTGTGAATTCGGGCCTATGAGTGTGTCTTAATTTTAAACAAAACGTCCCCAATGGAGAGCAGCAAAGTTGAAAAGCAGACAATTTTTTTGATATAAAATGTATTATTACTGATACGCACACTTTCGCACACATCCATGAACTTGTAAAACAATTGGAAGGCCATGATCTTTATAAGCCCTGTGCGTTGTAACTTTGGAATATTATGAAGAAATTTGGGGAAACGGGATTTTAAATCACAACCAATCCAAATATAACCTATATCTGGTAATATCAACATGTTTTTCAAAATAAAATACAGTACACGGAACAATAATTCCGATTATAAACCAGAACTGCACGTTAACTTCCCATGATTTAAGCGATTTATTATCTTCTGCGCATGTAGATTAACATGTGTAAAATCACTATCTTGATTGTGTCCCGGCTTATTGGCGGTTACCCTCATGAGATAAAAGTGAAGTAATTTGTACGGAATGTTATTGAGACGACATTGACGGAGACAATCGCAATGAATTCGTGAACTACACGACGAATGTCCATCCCTAATAGGTCCACGGATAGGTCAAATATGTTCTTTCGGTTAGCATGTGTATAACAATAGGCCACTTTCGTAATGTATCCAAATGAAATGCATAAGTCTTTGTGAAGTGCCTCAATACAAATTATTTCATTCACCTGATAAGAGTAATAGTATTTCAATAGACATAATCCGAACTGCATACATTAGTTCGTGTCAGGTAGGACACACATTTTGGCTTGACCTACCTAGCAACACTTAATATATGCATTTTGCATTCTGACTATCGAAATACTATTATTCTTATCAGGTGAATAAATAATTTGTATTGAGGCACTTCACAAAGACTTATGTATCAAATTTGGTAACATTACGAAAATGGCCTATTGGATGGGCAACAAAATCACTTCTTTTGAAGAGGATGCCATCTGATTTATTGGAGTGTTGAGTAGTTAGAAGAAATGTTGCCGGCTGCTGTTTCGTTTTGATGAAATAAGAATGGGAGAAAGAGAAGGAAACGAGTTGACGTGGTTTTCGAATACTAAGTGCATTGATATTCATTATAGAAGACTGATTAAGCAGTGCAAACTTTTTTAAACGAATGCAAATATTTAGATCGGGTAGTGATTGTGACATTCCAACCAAACTTGATTGTGAGAAGACGCGTGGTCAAATTTCTTCTAACAATAACTTTCATTATATACCTCACTTAAGTAATCCAGCCATCTGATTGGTCGAAATTGCATTCATAAACTACAACTGTTCCTGTAAAATTCCCGGTAACCATGCTTAAAACATTTCAATATTTTTAATAACCATGGTTATTAAAAAAATAAGTCAGTCTCCATGGTTAGCCCATAGGTTTACATGTTAAAAAATGGTTTGAGCGATGGAGGATACCATACGTGTGCGAAAAATTGGTCGGCAATTTCAATACAATTGAATCTCGATCGATCTTACCGACAATTTTATCTTGCATTGTTGACATGAAGACGAAAATAAACTCTCAAAAACAAAAAAACAACATCTGCCGATAGATCTTGATCTAAGTACGTGCCAATATGCATTGCAAAAGTAAAAGAAGGGTCCGTTTCATGGAGCTTTTGCGAAGCATCCCTCACGCGGAGCCGTTTTCAATCCATTTTAATGTATATATTAGAGAAAACTGCCAAGCATGTTAACGGCGCGTGATAGCTGAGTGGTCTAAGCGTTGGTTTTCGATACACCTCTTGTTGTACGCAAGAGTTCGAATCCCGTCTTCGACAAAAATGTAAAATATTTTTTATTTTTTATTTTTTAGTCTATTTTTTTTCGGCATATAAAAGTATTAATGACTGCTTTAATATTCGAGAAATAGTTGTTTTCATACGCTCTCGGGAAGGTTACAATTGGGCTATTCCCCTCGGCAAGCCTCAGGGAATAGCACAATTCTAACCTTCCCTTGAGCGTAATAAAACAACTATTTCTCTCAAAGCAGTCATTAATACTATAATATGAATGGAGAACCAAAAGAAATGCCCGGGACCGTTTGAGAGAAGTTTAATATGTTCATTCGGTTATCATGTATATAATAATTGGATTCTCTCTCTTGCTCTGTTTTTCTTCCCCTCTACAAAGTTAGACAGTGTACCTGCGCGCTTTGAAAGTATAAAACGCCCTATACATGTAATTATTATTATTATTATTATTATTAGATTGACAACAAAACCAATTCTTTAAAAAGTGGGGCCTGTGATATCTTGAGTATTTTGAAAAATGTTGCCGAGTGTTGTTCCATTCTGATTAGATGAGGAAAAAAAAGGGAAGAAAAGGCAAAAGTCCGTTGTTGTGTTCAAATGCTATGCGCATTAAAATTTGTTTTATAAGACTGAATAAGGCACACAACAATTTGTGTATTATTTTCTTTTCTTATTTGTTATTTTTTTATTTTCATTTTATTATAGTAGATTGATATTTTTTTACAGCACACTGCGCTCATGTGCATGCAAGCATGGAGCATTTGTGGTTGATCCATGTTGCCAGCATGAAAATTATTTAATCCTCTCTTGGAATAATCAAGACTGAATGACTTTACACAAAGTACAGATATTTAGAATGTTTTTGTTTTTTTAATTTATGGTAATATCCCACCGATTCTGAATGACAAAAGACACATTGCAGAGGGGATTTTCTTTTTGTAACAACATTCTTGAATTTCATCCTGATGATGATGTTGCCTTTTCTTTGCATACATAACAAGCTACGAAATCTCGCAATGAGGTTACAAACAGTTATACTCTGATTATTTACTGCCTTACCTTACTATTTATAAAGGTAAAACAACTGAATAAATACTGAGATTCGAACCCTCAAGCCAACTCCAAAGTTATATTAGTAACACGCTGTCCCTACCAATTGAGCTAACGATGAGTTGATGAAACTTCGGATTGTATAATTACTATTATAGTGTGGTACGGTATGTCACTGAAACAGCTCCCGTAGGATATTTGTGCCTAAGTTGATTTTTTTTTTTTTTTTTTTTTTTTTGCATTTTGTTTGCATTTTTTTATTCATTGGGGTCCAAGCTATCAGAAATACACCAGTTTACAGTTGTATCAGTGCGCATGCGCAGACAGTTGACCTCGGGTCATTGGCCCTCTGGTATTTATGCGTAAATTAAGATTGCACCCATGCAAATGATGATGTGCGCGCACAACGCAGCGCGTAGGGCAGTGATATTATCAAAATTTGCATGGGCGCAATTCTTATTTACGCATAAATACATGACCTGTAGGTCATTGGCTTTGTTTAAAATGGCGCACACAACTATAAACTGGTGTATTGATGGGGTTCCAAATACACCAGTTTACAGTTGTGTGCGCCATTTTAAACAAAGCCAATGACCTAGAGGTCATGTATTTATGCGTAAATTAAGATTGCGCCCATGCAAATTTTGATGATATCACTGCCTACGCGCTGCGTTGTGCGCTCACATCATTATTTGCATGGGCGCAATCTTAATTTACGCATAAATACCACTGGTCAAAGCTTATTGGCCCCGCTTCCGGGGCCAATGACCCGAGGTCAACTGTCTGCGCATGCGCACTGATACAACTGTAAACTGGTGTATTTTCTCGAAGACACCAAATTTCCCTATTGCGCGTTATATAAGCAATTTTGGCGCCCAATATGGACCCCCGATGAAATGAAGGAGGGGTCTGAAACTTTGAATCCCATCATTTCTGGCCAATTGGGACCCTTTTGAAGCTAAAACAGCAAGAAAAAAAAATCAACTTTGGCAAACAAAATCCTACGGGATTACATACCATACCGTTGACCTTATTGTCAACCCTATCGGAATCCATGTACGCATGCGCTGGTTTCCTTCGCGAGTCGAGTGCGCATACGCGGGTTTCCTTCGCGAGCTCAATCTGGGCTTGCCATACGAAAAATATAAGACGCGTGCCGCCTCTGGTTGTGAATATCGTTCACTCTATACTCATCCTGTTTCAACCTACTTATAGGTAAGCAAGGCTTAGTTTTAATTCGTGTTTAACATGTTATATTTAATTAAATTGCTGCTATGTTTTGTTCATATCCTGGTATAAACGAATCATTGTGTTCAAAGAACATACTATTTGTTTACAGAAAGATGTAATTTAAGGCGAGAAAGATGTTACGTAATGCGAAGAAGGTGTGACTAATCAATGTACATATAGATTACACGTACATGAACTGAATACGCAGGATATGCCTGTAGACTACATGTACGTGTATAATACCTGATTTGTGTGCAGGGTCCATTGGGCTTTGGCGTACGACTATTGAAGTCGGGATTGGCCGTTAGTGAATATTTGCAAGGTTTTGGTTGTGGCAAACATGATACTATCCATGTCGAAGAATTCTGATATAGGCCTATTTAAGATTTATTTATTTGTTCTCGTTTGTCTGATTTCATGACCCCGTTTTAACCCGCGTATAGTAGTGGGTCCAGATAGAATAAAGAGCACCAACTCGACTGCCATTATAATTAATACGTTGTCCGAAGTCTGCCCCCACTCATTTTGGCATTTCGTTTCAATTCACCCCTACACAATAAAGAATGCTACAAAATAAAATAAATCTACAGGCTACTAGATTTGCTATGAGGAAATGGCACCATTTGTTGATGAAATCTGTGCAATATGGATGTTTAGTGCACATAGCAAGGCAGAATGAAGTTTTGTTAATGTGTAGTGTCATGACTGTTGTGTATACATGCTTGAATGATGCACAAATAACTCGCTTTGTACATTACATGGGTGTAACGTACAGACGGAGTCGGCTCACATACCAAATGTTATTGATTGCTATGTAATGTAGATTACGGCACGCGACTGAGAGGTACACGCATGCAAGAATTTTAATTCAGAATTGCCTAGTTTGAGTTAATGTACAAAGATGGGTAGTTTGGGTGCATAATATTAGAACGTTAGCAGATGATTTATACATTGTGGTTTATATTAAAAGTTTATAGATGGTTTAGTTATAAAGATGAATGCAATTATGGAAGGAAGTGATTTGAGAAGGATACAAAAGGGGGTATGTCAGAAGTCTAACTTGGTTCAATCAAGCATGATTACAGATATAGTTGTTTTTAGTTTATACGCAGTACAAGTAAATGTGTGAGATAAGGAAAATAGTTAAAGCAAATGATACAAATATAGGGACTGATTAGAGCATGTATGGTGCAAATAATTGATGAGAGTCAATAGGTTATCTCTAAGTGTGTGAATTCATGAACAGTTAATTTATGATCCGTTCGATCTATTTCATTTGTACAGTTATTACGGAGCATTTTGGAGCAACGAGCAATTGGAACAATAAAGAAACGACCAAATACAAAATCAACTATGCTTCAGCTACAGAATGGAAAAGGTGACTGCTTGAGCAGCTCGAGCGGCGTTGAGAACCAGGCGTCCTTATTTCGGCGATCAGCGACCTTTTCGTTCACTGATTTGTTCTTTGATTGTATATTTTGCTTGTTGGCTCCCTTGGATATCGGCTTTTATAGAGGGAAACAAGGCATCGTCTCAAAGGTAGGTTTACATTGGTAGTTGCACCCTTTTACCTATAATGCACCATGGCTAAACCCCCTTTGCAAGTTGGGGATTCTAAAGACCAAAAATTAATCTGTTGAAAAGAGTGTCAACAAAATCCTAGGCTGAATAGTACCTACACCCAAGACAAAGTAGCTCAAAGATATAAGATTACAATAACCTCTATCGACAATGCTGAATCACCAACAAGAGCACACGCAATTCCAGTAACCCGAGACCTACATAATTCCATAGGAAACCCTAAATGTATATCAAAGAAGGGAAGAAGCCAACTTGTAGAATTACAAACATTAAGACAAGCTAATTCACTACGGAATGTAGCCAATTGGCGTGTATTGAAAAAAGACGTCGGTCCCTTTCCCAAAACAAAGGGGGCAATAGTCACTATGAATATGACGGACAAAGAAAGCGGACAAAATATACAGTTCCTCAGGTAGACAAAGGAACATCCCTTCACTGCTATTATGTAAAAATGTGTAGAACAGGTGTCACATTCATGTTCACCTGTTCTACACATTTTTACATAATAACAGTGAAGGGATGTTCCTTTGTCTACCCGAGGAACTGTATATTTTGTCCGCTTTCTTTTTCCGCCATATTCATAGTGAGTGGGGATCCCACTCGACGTCACGGATGACGAACTTTTATCAGAACTTAAATCTCAAGGCGTCATTCACGTACGCCGAATTATGGGGCGAGTGTGGGAAATTTGAAAGGCACACCTGCGTTTTGTCTTTCTTTTGAAACTGACCGTCTCCCCTCACAAGTAACAATAGGTAACATGATTAAAATGGTTACCATTTACGTACCCCCGGTACGACGTTGCAATAAATGCCAAGGTTTTGGTCACTTACAGGATAACTGTAAATATAACCTTAGATGTGTGAGATGTGGGGACAGCCCTTTCATGGACAATCCAACATGTTTTATGTGTAAATGGAAGTATAGTGCAGCATACGAGGGCTGCTCTCTTTATAAAAGTGCAAAACAGATACCTGTTAAATTCACAGAACAAAACTAATTTGTACCGGAGCAAGTAAAAGGATATCCTATGCTGAGGCACCCCAAAAAAGGACACCGCCTGAAATTAATACTAATAATCTGTTCAATTTACAGAAAAATTAATCTACACCGAAGCAACAAAACAGGCCCAAAACAGCCCCAAAACAAAGACCACCCAAACTGCAGAAAGAAACTCAGGGTTAACCCAACATTTCTCAAGCCCACAACTACACAACCAAAGGTTACATTGATCCTCGATACCCACAACCCCACATCCACCTGTCCACAAATAACACCGACTGAAAATATACTGATAAAGTAAAGTCTAACCATAAAGTGGACAAAAATAAAAGATGCGGTAAACAATCAAAACAAGTCGGAGCCAGCTCAGAATTTCAACTAATTAATCGCATATTTAGTTATCGTTATGAAAAATCTGGAAGGAAACAAAGCTTAAAGTGCTAGAATCAAAATCGTGGTGGAAGCTGCCCACAAATGCTTTGGTTTTAAAGCGAGGGCAGAATCCATGCACGAGATGTTGACACATATTCCAATTATACTATGGCATTTTATATTTAATTACCTCAATCCACCAAATATTATTTGTATACAAGAAACATGGCTAAACAATACAAACCATACATTTTTTGATATTCCTAATTTCACCCCAATATTGAAGAGTAAATCTCAGAGGAAAGGAGAGGAATGTTCCATTTATTATTGAGATTATACATTAAAATCGTTATAACACTATATAATTTCGAATGTGACTTAATAAATTGTTATAACCCTCACCTGATTGATCTTGAATTACTCAATTCCTTACTCGATAACTGTAATAAAAACAAGATTTTCTGCGGGGACTTCAACAGTCAAAATCCACCATGGGGTAGTAAAAACAAATTTAAAAATGGTAAAAATAACCTCTTGTAAATAACGGCTGACCGACCCGTATAGATTCAAGAAATAGCGCCCTCTCGTACCTTGACCTTACATTATCAACTCCGTCCCCGGCATCCAAATGCCTATGGGCAGTAACCAACACTACCCTTGGTAGCGAACACTTTTATATTGAAATACAAATCCACATTAGTCCTTCAAACATCCCGATTACCACCCGACTTACCCTAACTCTCTATTAGCGATACATAAGGCTAACTGGAATTTATATACAGGCATATTACAAAATATGAAATTAGATAATGTTTACGACGAAAAGACGCAAACACTTTATGATAATTTTATTGCGAGAATAAGAGACGTTGCTAACGCAGCGATTCCCCCCAAAAGAACAACACACGCAAAACTCCAATCCCATGGTGAAGTAAATCGTGCTTAGTAGTTTTTGCAAAGAGAAATAAAGCAAATATAGTCTTCAGAAAATCTATGAAAATGGATGATCTGCTGGAATTCAAAGAGAAAAAAGCGAGGCCCAGTTATGCATTAGAAAAGCAAAAGAGGAATATTGGGATTTTGTTTTGTTAAACCCTAAATAGATTTACCCCACTTACACAAATTTGAAAAAGGTTAAATACATAACCCACCCCCAATCTAACATTATACAATATTTAAAAAAAAAACGAATCGGAAAGCTCTCAAGGATGATTCTGACAAAGCTAACAATTTTACGAGTACTATTCAGATATTCAAACCAATTGAGTTAAGCAATACGGTACTCAACTAAGAGTCACACCATTTAATAATGATTCTAATGCTGAAGTATTAAATGAACCCATTACCATCGATGAACTAAACGAGGCACTAAATGCAACTCCTAATACTAGCTCTGGCACAGATGGGATTAATTCATCGTTTGTAACCAAACTACCCTCAAATTGTATAGATATTTCAGGGTTTTTTTTTAATTTTAAACAGGATTTGGAACAACCCATCCAGTATTCCTTTTCAATGGAAAAAAATCCCACATTATCCCCATATTAAAAACAAGTAAAACCAAAGGAGAAGTTTCCTCATATAGGCCAGTCTTCTTAACCTCTGTGATATGTAAAATCAATGAGAGAATTATATAAAAAATAATTTCATGACATTGTAATAAGTTTGGACATTGACAAACACGGCTGCTCAACAACTGCATTTGCATACAGGAGTAAATGGAGTCTACGTCATCCCTTGCAATATTCTCGCACGATATCGTTACTTCTCGTTTGTGGATATTATTTCTCGAGCTGTTTTGAGACGCACGAAAACACACGCATGATATGCTCATTATCGAGCGTGTTGCGGTCTGACTGTATATTGTACCGTTGTTTAAAAAACATAAACCTTTTTTATTTGCATGTACTTCTTTTCCTGGAATTTAGTCCTCAACGACCTTGTCCTCGAACCTCTTCGGACGCTGTTCTTCAGTTCTTCTGTCTACTTAAAGTGCCAGGTCCTTTACACACTGACTGACCTTCTACGGAACTACGTAACCTACGAGATTAGCCGGTATCACGAGACAGCATCAAGGCAGAAGGTGGAGGAGACAGAGGAGGTCTTGGTGTAGGAGGATGATTATATGGAGGAACGTCCCCTTCATTCGAGGTACATATAAAGTTACAGTCACTTCGGCTTCAAGATTTAGTAATTAAACGTTAAAATCTTAAGTTTCGAGATGCTTGGTTCCATTCCATACGGGAGGAAGGGATAGGGGACACTTTTATTTGTGAATATGTAAGTAAAATGTACCTCAATCTTAATATTTCTCATATTCAACAACTTTCTAAGTAGATATAGAATGTTAAAGATTAAAATACAGGAGACAGGAGAGATTCGGATTAAGGATGATGATATTACGACACAGAACCTTAATCCAAGGCACTAACTATTTTGACAACTACTAATATGCTCCCTGGATTAAAAACTCTCCCATCCCCCACATTGAACCCAATTAGTTATAATCATAATTATATTAACTACAACAAAACAACAGCAATAACAACATTGGCAACAAAAATACTTGATGACATATCTTTTCTCTCCGTGCAGTTCATCTGTATTCTCTGTTCCGGGGGCGTACTTTGACCCGATGAACACGGTCAGGAAGCTGGTAGAGTTTGTGGAAGGACTGTGCTCTGTCGCTCTTCAGCTTCACCAGCATCATTTTCTCCTCTTGCATCACGCACTCACCTTCTTTGAACAGGTGAGTTATTACTTTCAACTGATTCAGGAATCTGACTTCAGATTGATTACTGGCACTTAGAAATGCCCTCACGAGACCTCTGTATTAAAGATGGTTTGTCCCTTTGCATACCTACAAACCTGAAGTTATATGAATCCAATGGTATATTGGAGAGTTCTATTACATGCTTTATATATGATTGTTATTAGGAATTTGTTATTAGAATGTTGTATCATGTATTATATTATTGTAATTTGTAGGTTAACGTTACTTTGTATTTTTGTAAGGCGCTAAAGAAGTTGTACTAAGTGCTTTATAAATTTAATATATTATTATGATTGTTATGTCCACGGAACCTCTAATCGAGTGTTTTACACCAAAGCTGTCCACAAATGCTTTGGTTTAAAACCAAGCGCAAAATCTGTACACGAGATTTTAAATAAAGCCACCTATTAAACGACACTGCTTGCAAATGTGAACGAACGTATGACTTTGAGGTATATTTTCCGGGTACAAATAAAGGCTTTATCACAACATTTTAACCCTATTTCACGCAATTTTAGTGGTATTCATCGATTACAAAGATTGACCATGAACAGTGGTGATACAGTATTTATAAAATTTAGTGTTCGTTTCGAGAAATGACTAGTTGAAAGAATAATATGAGCCCACCCATACAAGCTATGTGACTGTAAAATACACCGTTGTTTAAAAAACAAATTTAAACCTTCCTCATATCGTTATCTTCTTTTTCTTGGACTTTAGTCCTTTACGACCTTGTCCTCGAACCTCTTCGGACGCTGTTCTTTAGTTCTTCTGTCTACTTGAAGTGCCAGGTCCTTCACACACTGACTGACCTTCTGCGGAACTACGTAACCTACGAGATTAGCCGGTATCACAAGACAGCATCGAGGCAGAAGGTGGAGGAGACAGAGGAGGTCTTGTTGGAGAAGGATGATGATATGAAGGAACGTCCCCTTCACTCCAGGTACATATAAAGTCACAGTCACTTAGGTTACAAGATCCAGCAATAAAACGTTAAAAATTTAACCTTCAAAATGCTTGGTTCCATTACATAATGGAGGAAAGGATAGGGGACATTTGTATATGTGAATGATGTAAGTGACATGTTCCACTAAAATATGTGGAGGGCAAAGGGACAATATCCTTTGTGAAATGTACCTCAATTTTAATATTTCTCATGTTCAACCACTTTTCCAGTACATATAGAAGGATTAAAGATTAAGGTACAGGAGACGGGGAAGATTCTGATTAAGGAGGATGATATTACGACACAGATCCTTAATCCAAGGCACTTACTATTTTGACAACTACTTTTTGCACCCTGGATTAAAAACACTCCAATCCCCCACATCGAACCAAATTAGTTATAATAGTTATTATATTAACTACAACAAAATAACAGCATCAACAGGGACAACAACAATACTGATGACATATCTTTTCTCTCCGTGCAGTTCATCTGTATTCTCTGTTCGGGAGGCGTACTTTGACCCGATGAACACGGTCAAGAAGCTGGTAGAGTTTGTGGATGGACTGTTTTTGGTCGCTCTTCAACTTCATCAGCACCATTCCCTTTTCTTGCATCACACACTCACCTTCTTTGAACAGGTGAGTTATTACCTTAAACCGATTCACGAATCTGACTTCAGATTGATTACTAGCACTAAGAAAAGTTCTATGAATCCAATGGTTTATTGGAGAGTTCTAATGCAAGGAACCTCCCACCATGTGTTTGACAACAAAAAAACTGGCTTTAAAAAAAGTTTTGAATGTATAATTCCAAAAACTTATTGTCTGGACTTGTATACAAATATTTGTACATAATTAAAAATGAATTTGACAATTATATCTAGTCGATTTAAAGATATCTCACTATGCGGCGTGATCGTGTAACGAATGAAAATAGCATTAGATTTTCATTTCTTACACACGATATATGTAGGATACATTTTAAACACTCCTAAGTTTGCTTCGGTACTCTATAATGTTTGATTGTAGAATCATCCTAGCTCTATTCCTTTTTTTCTATTCACAGGTGGCGCTTCTTTACAAAATGCATGGTGTTGTCTTTTCGCAGATGCCGGCCAAGATGAACTGCTACTGGACCATGTTTGGTATAGATCCCACAGCATGCTCTAGGATGTGCCAGATCATCTGCAAGCAGGTTCCTTATCATGTTATGAGTTTCTTTAGTGTGATCTTAAGGTTTGATAATTAAACTGCACAGTTCCATGCATATTTGGTATTGATCATATGGCCTACATTAGCATACGTTCGATAACTTGCTCCTTATATGGTGAAGATAGACAGAAGTAAGAGCGGTTTGAATGAAGAGGATGCTTGAGACAAGAGGAAGTGGAAGGGGAGAAGCAAGTAACCCTTCATGATACGGAAAATGATGAATTTAGGAAATGACGTTGACGATCTCTTCCAAACTTTCACCAGTCTACTTCTCAGAGTTGTTCCGCTTTAATTTAGACTTGTTTGCCATTCTGTTGATAAAACCCAAGTGCAACCCTAACTTAGCCCTATATCTTTGATAAAATAAAGCCCAGATCAAATGTTGCCATGGCAAGTATATGTTCACCCATTAATATCCATAGGTATTATCTGTATCAGAAAAGGAAACATGTACTCGTTTGAAAAATATTCTTAAGCGAGGTATTTCAAATGGTTATTTATAGAAATCTGGCTATTGTGAATATGAAATTGTTTGATTTGAAAAAGAATGGGTTTTGAAAAATGGAAGTTTTTCTCTCTATAGCTTCTGTAGCTCACTGATCTAATAGTGAATAAAGTTCATTATATACCTCACTTAAGAAATCCAGCCATCTGATTGGTCGAATTGCATTCATAAACTTCAACTGTTCCTGTAAAATTCCCGGTAACCATGCATAAAACATTTCAATATTTTTAATAACCATGGTTATTAAAAAAATAGGTCAGTCTCCATGGTTACCCCATAGGTTTACATGTTAAAAAATGGTTTGAGCGATGGAGGATACCATACGTGTGCGAAAAATTGGTCGGCAATTTCAATACAATTGAATTTCGATCGATCTTACCGACAATTTTATCTTGCATTGTTGACATGAAGACGAAAATTAACTCTCAAAAACAAAAAAACAACATCTGCCGATAGATCTTGATCTAAGTTCGTGCCAATATGCATTGCAAAAGTAAAAGAAGAGTCCGTATATGGAGCTTTTGCGAAGCATTCATCACACGCGAAGCCGGTTTCAATCCATTTTAATGTATATATTGTACAAAACTGCCATGCATGTTAATAACGCGCGATGGCCGAGAGGTCTGAGGCGCTGACTTTGGATACATCACCTTTTGTACGCAAGAGTTCGAATCTCATCTTCGACCAAAAAAAAAAGTATTTTTTATTTTTTATTTTTTAGTCTATTTTTTTTCGGCATATAAAAGTATTAATGACTGCTTTAATATTCGAGAAATAGTTGTTTTCATACGCTCTCGGGAAGGTTACAATTGGGCTATTCCCCTCGGCAAGCCTCGGGGAATAGCACAATTCTAACCTTCCCTTGAGCGTAATAAAACAACTATTTCTCTCAAAGCAGTCATTAATACTATACTATCAGTAGAAAAATTGTGCGTTTCTGGTATAAGCTTTCGCAAAACAAAAGCTTACCGAAACAAGCAATTTTTTCCAGATCGTGAAGAAGGAACCAGTTTTCAAGCTTTCGTTTACGATATTCAGTTACCAGTTGAGTGAATCCCCAGGGAGTGGAGCGTGTGCACTATCAATTAAAACATGATCACTACCGAGGATAGTGTTAGCAACTGCACATAGGCATATTATAAGCCAGAGACGGAGTTATTAATGTAAGGTCCAGGCACGAGAGGGCGACATTTCCTGAATCAATACGGGTCGGTCACTGATTATTCAAAAGAAAAAGGTTATTTAATATGAATTGCTCTACATTTTCGCCGTTTTTTAAATAATTGTACTACCCCATAGTGGATTGTTACTATTCAAATCCCCGCATAAAATCATGTTTTTATTCCAGTTATTGATTAAGGAATTGAGTAATTCAAGATCAATCAGGTTAGGGTTTTAAACATTAATTACGTCACAATTGAATTTATTTAGTGTAATCGCGAATTTAGGTAATCCTTGGTTGAGATTGTTGATATAATCCTATATGAGATTCCATCTCAAATATACATGGCACATCCATCTCCTTTCTCCTGGGATCTATTCTTAATAGTTAGGGTGAAATTAAGTAAATCAAGTTTTATGGTTCGTATTGTTTATTCATGATTCTTGTATACACATAGTATGAGTCTGGTTTGGGGGATTAATATCAAACGATTTAGTTCGTCACCATGGCAATGGAGCCCTTAAGCGTTCTAATGCCATTTTAAAATATTGTTATATTTCTTTATTTGTCATCTCGTGTATAGATTCTGCCCAAAGGAGGCAGCCCTCGTACGCTGCGCTATGTTTCCCAGTACACATAAAACATGTTGGATTATCAACAGAGGGGCATTTATCGGATGTGTGGCTGTCTCCACATCTCACGCATCTAAGATTATATTTACAGTTATCTTGTAAGTGACCAAAACCTTGGAATTTATTGCAAAGTTGTACCGGGGGTACGTAACTCTTTTTATCATGTACCCTATTGATACCTGTGCAGGGAGACGGTTCGATTCAAATGATAGACAAAAAGCAGTGGTGCCTGTCAGATTACCCTTTACTCGTTTCATTATACGGCGCGCATGAATGACGCCTTGGGATTTCAATTCGAATAACAGTTCGTCATCCGTGACGTCGAGTGGAATCCCCACTATTGCCCCCTTTGTTTTGGGGAAGGGGACCCACTCCGACGTCTTTGTTTGGATGGACGCCAATTCGGTAACATTTCGTAGTGAGTTTGCTTGCCTGGTATTGGTACATTCTACTAGTAGGCTTCTTCCCTTCTTGGTTATACTTTTTGGTTTCCCAATTGCGTTGTGTAGGTCACCTGTAACATGGATCGTGTTTGCCTTTGTTAGTGTTTTTGTGATATCGATGGGGGTTATTAGTTTTGGAACTTCTGAACTGTTTCCTCTTCGGTGAACGTGCTATTCATTCTGGGTAATTTTTGACATTCTTTCCTACGGTAATATAATCCTCATATTTATCAATCAAATCTTCTGCTTCGGAGGAGGCATTTATCGGATGTGTGGCTGTCTCCACATCTCACGCATCTAAGATTATGTTTACAGTTATCTTGTAAGTGACCAAAACCTTGGCAGTTGTTACAACGTCGTACGTATATGGAAACTCTTTTTATCGTATAACCTATTGATACCTGTGTGGGGAGACGGTCCGAATCAAAAGATAGACAAAAAGCAGTGGTGCCTGTCAGATTACCTTTAACTCTCTTCATGATACGGCGCAATTGAATTTCGCCTTGGGTTTTCAATTCTGATAGAAGCTCGTCATCCGTGACGTCGAGTGGGATTCCCACTATTGCCCCCTTTGTTTTGGGGAAGGGGACCCATTCCTACGTCTGTATTTGCATGGAAGCCACTTTGGAGACATTCCTGAGAGAGTTAGCTTGCCTGATGTTAGTGCATTCAACTAGCAAGCGTCTTCCCTTCTTTGTTATTGCTATTGGTTTTCCTATTCCGTTGTGTGTATCGCGGGTGACATGGATGGGGTTAACCTTCGTTAGAGACTTGTCTATATCAATTGGGGTAATTAGTACTTGGATTTTCTGTTTGGGTTGTTCTTGAGTAAGGTGCTGTTTAAACGTGGTCTTTTCTTTGCTTTTTTCCCTACTGTTATAAAATCCTCGTATTTATCTATCATATCTTCAACTTCTGATGAGGCTTCCGCCATGATTAGAGGTGCAAAAATAGGTGCTCACTCCCAATGTACACCTTCCTCTTTCGATGATGTTGGTCCCTTGCAATCCCTGTGAGAGCCGAAATCCAATGATCACCAAAATAATTCCAATGAGCACAAACTGTATCCAAAATATATCCAAAAGTAAATCCAATGGGTGCTATATTTTTATGCCTCCGCCACCGAAGGTGGTGCCGGAGGCATCATGTTTTCGGGTTGTCCGTCCGTACGTCCGTCCGTACGTCCGTCCCGTTTGACCGTTATCACAATATCTCAAGAACAGTTTAAGATTTAAACTTAAGACTCGGGAATATTATTTATCACCATAGGAAGACGATCTGATTAGATTTTGGAGTACGTAGGTCAAAGGTCACAGGTCACAGAGGTCAACTTATGAAATTCCTTGTATTGAGTTTGTTAGCGCGATATCTCAAGAACCATTTGAGATTTAAACTTTAAACTTAGTGATAGTGTGTATCACTATAGGAAAACAATCTGATTACATTTTGGAGCACGTAGGTCAAAGGTCAAGGGTCACAGAGGTCAACTTATGAAATTCCATACATTGAGATTGTTATCATAATATCTCAAGAACCACTGGAGATTTAAACTTCAAACTTAATGATAGTGTGTATCACCATAGGAAAACAATCTGATTAGATTTTGGAGCACGTATGTCAAAGGTCAAGGGTCACAGAGGTCAACTTATGAAATTCCATACATTGAGATTGTTATCATGATATCTCAAGAACCACTGGAGATTTAAACTTTAAACTTAGTGATAGTGTGTATGACTACAGGAAAACAATCTGATTACATTTTGGAGCACGTAGGTCAAAGGTCAAGGGTCACAGAGGTCAACTTATGAAATTCCATACATTGAGATCGTTATCGCGATATCTCAAGAACCACTGGAGAATTTTCACTTCAAACTTAATGATAGTATGTATCACCATATCATAATATCTCAAGAACCACTGGAGATTTAAACTTCAAACTTAATGATAGTGTGTATCACCATAGGAAGACAATCTGATTAGATTTTGGAGCACGTAGGTCAAAGGTCAAGGGTCACAGAGGTCAACTTATGAAATTCCATACATTGAGATTGTTATCATGATATCTCAAGAACCACTGGAGATTTAAACTCCAAACTTGTTTAAATTGCTCTATGGCGGAGGCATCATTTTCGACTGCGCGCAGTCAAAATTCCATCTAGTTTTTCATAGGTTTTTATTCATGTCTCTCATAAAGAAAAATTGTACTTTATTTATAACATTGTATACAAAATAACAAAATAACTTTAACATAGGTCTTAATAAATTTGCCAACGAACTTTAACATTTACATACAAAAGTTGCACATGTACAGATGAAAAATATTCACATAAACAAAATTATATTTTCACCCCCCCCCCCCAAAAAAAAAACACAACAACAACAACAACAACAAATTGCAAATAAAGTTTGTACTATTTTCTCGACCAGTTTGATTATAAATCTCAAATTATTTTTTTTCCACAATATTCTGTTAACCTATATTCCTCTTAAATTTCCTTTAGAAAAAAAAACAATTATATATATATATATATATATATATATATATATATATATAAAGAGAAAGAGCTAGAAAACACCTACTACCCCCCCCCCCCCCCCCCCCACACAACATTTAAACACAAAAGTACAAAAGCATACAAAACACACATCAACATAGAACGAACGAACAAACAAAAGTAATAGGTTATATGAATCAATATGACCTAAAGTATAATCGCCAGTCGCCGAAAATACGCCGTCGCCGCTAGCCGCTCCAGCAATCACCGACGAAAGACACCGCTCAAGCCTGATGACCATTGGCTGTTGTTGTTAATTTAAAGTTTGTTTTGGCATTGCAGTCAGAAATGACTATTTATGCCAGCTAAAAATAGCGGTATT